GTGGTTGTTGGCATGATCTTCATCCCACAAAAATAGGTAGCAGGAACCCGTACTTCATAGACCACCTGGCAATGAGGGTTTTGGGCGCGGTTCAACCGTTTTGCAAAGCAACCACCCTCAACTCAGGTACCCTACCACCAGACTGCCCAAAAAACCCAAACAGGGACTTGTCATGGAAAATAAGGGGCATAAGGCCAAATCAAGCCTTGGGCCGTTGGGCTGGCAGTCTTATTGTGGGGCTGGTAGGGTCCCTGATCGCTTGCAATGCGTCCTTGGACGGGCATCGCTGCCTCGGCTGGGCGCTCGCTCCTTCCAATGAGCCATGGACCAAACGCCATTGGCTTGGATGGCCACATCCTCGTGTCAGATCCCCACAGCAACCCAAGAATCCAAAACCACCACGAGCTGTTGAATTGTCCACGCGCATTGCGGGAATTAACTGTCGTGATCCTTGTCAGGAATGACTGCCGTCCTGCACAAAGGTCGCCTTGCGGAGTGATTTGACCATGTGCACCACGGTGGGCCATCATGGATACGGTTTACCTTTGCCCGGCTTTTGCGAGAATCAAGGGACCCCTTTTGGGATTCTTCGCATTTAAAAGGGGTCTCTTTCTAACCTGAAACAGTATCCAACCAACAATGCTACCTTAAATCTTTCAGGTTCAACCCATCTGAGCAACATGGATTGGACAGACTGACCCAACAAGCACACACCTTGTTGCTGTGTAATCCTAGTATTAATCTGGAGGACAATATCAATCAAGTGTGTGTACACCTCCTACAGTATCTGGTCAGGCTTACCATCAGTTTGTTTTTTGGTCATGTTTCATTTAACCGAAGAGCAACCAAAACCCCAGCCGCTGCCCCAGTCCACACTCGGAACTGAGGACGACACGTAGAGAAGTCCTCCGGGCTCAGATGCTAATCATCATTCTAGCCATCAGTTCTTGTGCCACTCTGCCGGGGACCCTTGTCTTCTGAGAAAAAAACCAAACGCCCACAACACAACGTTGGTTCTTCCAAGGAGGAAGAGCGAACATAATGGAAAACTGCGCAAACACATGGGGGTTCGAGACGGCAAGGCCCAACGTCAGAAAGAAATTGCGAGCACCTTGTCCTGTAAGTCAGAGGAGGTGAGAAAAACAAAGCATTTCCAGATTTCGTGGGACAAGCAAATGACGGCCTAGGCATTACAACCGTGCCTGCTGCAGTCCCTATTCGACCATCGCCCCAAGAATGGCCGGACTAGCCAAACACTACTGATCACAAAATAGCAGCTTGCTGAAGTAGATAGGCAACTAGGCCTCAACCCGTATAGCAAGGGCTTTGTGGGAACGGCCTTGTGAGTGAAATGTTGTGGCCAACATGGTGCCTCTTCAAGGGCCAGGGCCTTGTAGTAACGGTCTGGCAAGGAAAGCGCTAAGGCGTGGCTAAGGGCGACTAAGACCTACCAGCCCGAGGTTGGGTGGAGCCATGGCTTCCGCGCTGGGCCTTGTGTGTCTGCAAGGTGTCCAACGTGTCAGCCTCGCACTCACTCGCGCCAAAACCGTGGCTGCTGCGCCCACTCTTTTGGGGACCTCCTTTGAAGGGGCTCGATGTTAAGCAAAGCGCTCCTCTCCGGCGCGTTTGGAAGCCAAAGTGCGTGGCTGTTTCGAGCCAAGCGCTCAAGCATGGACCGTGCGCCAAAAATACACATATATATAGATGTATATATATACACATACATATTTATATATACATCTATATATATATATGCGTGTACGGTATAGTGCCCAACCTGGACACTAGACCTTATTTGCCACACCTGGCCCCTTCCCTTTTCAGAAGTTGAAAAACAAAGGCCGGGGCAATCTTCCTGCGACCCGGTACATCAGGTAAGCCATTCTTAATAAAACGCCCTCAAACAAGCCAAGGCCAAAACTCTAACAAGGTCATGCTCCTGAAAATCATGAGACAGCCTGCTCCAAAGCACTCCGCTCTCAATCGACCCAAACTCGGGGAGGAAGAGGCCAGTGACCAGTGACCGCAAAGGGCAGACGATCCAGCTTGGCCTTCTTCTGGGACGTTCTTGGCGAAGCCCCGGGATCTTCTTCCGCTCTTGAAGCACGGCAAAAGCATAAAAAACACGAAGCACATGACGTCCTCCAAGGCAATAGCAAGGGTCTCGCCCTCAAGAAAAGCGCTCGTCCCTTGAGTCAGCTGTTTAGGGGGAACCAAGTTCTCGACCAGCCTCACCACCTCCGCTGGTGCCCAGCGGAGTCAACAGACCAAAGCTCACAGACCCGTGACTGCACCCCTTCCCCAGTCGCTATCTGCCATAACTTGGCCCAAGCAAAACACTTAAGCAAAAGACCTGGCAATCAATAGTCTTAGAAGAGTGACATGCGCCGCCCAACGGCCACCAAGGCTCGAAGAAAGTGTTCTGGCTCATTCGCGGGTACGAGTAACGTCTGGCAGGGGCTCACTCGTCTCTGTCTCTCTCTCTCTCTCTCTCTCTCTCTCTCTCTCTCTCTCTCTCTCTCTCTCTCTCTCGCTCTCACACATCCTCTCTCTTCAGCATGGTGACTGCTTTGCGAAGATGACAACGAGCCCCGGAGACGTCTTTCCTTCGTCTCCTTTGTCCCACGCACGCTCACCTTTCTCGGCTCCTCTGCCTGCGGTCCGAGAGCTGTAGGGCTGAGTCGTGATCTGCCTCAATCCGCTCTCTTTGGCCTTCCCGCGCAGTAGAGCTTCTTCGCGTCCTGTAAGCATCCGGTTCGAAGAGCTCGACGAGCCACAGAAAAGTGAGCACGTGTGCTTAAGCTACCGAGCTATCCGAGGCCAAAGCTGGACCCAGCTTCGCTGCCAGGAGCTACCCCAAATGTGGACGCTGGGCGGTCCTGAGCGTCACCTGTAAGGCCTCTATCAAAACCTATGATGGGCGCCACAAACGGCACAAGCGACCGCGCGCGACTCCCCTCTTACCTTTGCACGTCTAGCAAAGGCCAGGAGCTTCGCCAGGAGCTTCGCTCATCTAGAGCAGCTCCCCTCAGCTGAAAGCCATTTAGAACCGGGGCCGCACATCCATTTGTATATATATATATATATATATGCATATCTGTATATATACCTACCCCAAGCCAAAAGCAACATGTGGCCGTTTCGGGGGATCTCTGTTTGAGGTCACACCCCTTGTGAGTACATCTGTTTTGGATGAAACCCCTTTAACTTTTGGCTCTCGTTTGCAAGACGACAAAACTCAACATCACGAGGTTTGCCTTTGACCGTTGTGTGGTTTAAAATGAAGCCGGACCCCTCGCAAACCACAGAAATGCACATTAAAGCGGGAGGACCCCTTCAGACCCCAAAGAACTCCAATGGCCGAAAGTCGAAAGGTATATCCTTCTTGGCGGCCCCACGCAAAGAAGCCAACAACCAGCTCTGCCGCCCAATCGCCCACAAGCCTCCAAGCTTTTCTGCCTCAAAGCACTCCACCTCGGAGAAGGGGCAAGATTTGCTGAAATCCACGCGACCTCCTTTGGGCCACCCGGAATGATTGGATTCATCGCAAGGGGCAAATCCAGCGGGGGGGGAACCGAAGGATCCTTGCAAAGCCGTTCGGATCCTAGACTACGCCCCGCCCCTTAGACTCACCTCAGCAACTGCACACAGCAAAATAACAGGCAACCCTATAGTCGCTTGAAACACAGATCCAGCCCCGCCTGCCGCCAGCCGCTCCGCACCAACAAAACAAAAGGTCGGGGTGGGATTCGGCAAGGGGAAAGATTTTGCAACTGGAATTCGCAACCTGGAGAAACCTTCGGCAACTGGAAGAAGCAGCTACACCGCCGGACTCAGCAACTAGGGTTCGGCAATCAGGATTTGACAACAGTGACCGGAATGTTTTCGGCAAGGGGTGCTTCTGTTCAATGCCCTATGATGCCCTGTAACTGGGAAGGGCCGAATCGCACTTGCTGATGCTAACACGTTCATCCATCGTAGCTGCAAAAACAGTTACTCCATGGCAGTTGTTGAATCACCCGCAGTTTGTTGAATCGGACTTTGCTTGCCCTCAGCGATACTTGGGTCAAAATGGTAAACCCTTTTTGGGTTGTATTCAAAGGGACGCCAAAAGGAATCATTGCATGGTTTCTAGCACGACTGTATCTCTGTTCTCTGGACCACTGACCATTGGCTCTCAGGCAACAAAAGGCAGGACTTTCAACACCATTGGGGCAACCAAAGAGGGAAACAAGTACCGCGCTTTAGGGACAGGAGTTGCCCCATTAAGTTAACCCAGAACCATGTAAAGAATTTAAAAGGCGACGGCACCCATTCATGTGACAGGGTACACTGTGACTCGGCACACAAACACAATTTGCAATGCTGGAACTTGGTACGTATAGCAACCTTGCTTTTGGCAATGCAATGATATTGTCAGGCGGCGGCCACATGTTTTGTGCCGCACATCCGTTCTTATGCGCGTATCAACTAGGACTTAGCAACCTTAAAATAGGCCCCCCCCTCCCCAAGAATTTCAGCAAGGATGACGCTGTGACTTGCGCAAACTAATGGCCTTTACCCTTGGCGCAAAGCTCGTTGCTAGAATCGCACAGCTGCAACCTGAAGATGTTCACTGCGCCTTTGGCGGCGTGAACGACTTAACCTGACATGAGTCTGCAGTTCTTCGTCTACACAGCATGCAAGGTGTGGGATTCGCACGAAAATGAATTCAGCCTCAGCACTCTCCCAATGTATTGGGCTACTACTGATCTTGTCAGTAGCTCTGTTACATGTCACTTGACATCTTGTTTGTGTGCGCGGTAGGGAGCGAGTAGAAGTCCACATGCACTGCTGCACTACATCTGCACAGCGCAGTTTGCAAGCTGCATGATGTGCTCTGGACAAATGACTTGGTCGTCTGACCGGCTCACACATGCTCTCCCTACGGGTTTCTTTGAATGGAGCACCCCACCTCAAGGGCCCCTTGAGACCAGCTATTTTGGAGCACCAATAATTCTGACCCTTAGGGAAAGGAAAGCCGTTCTGGCCATGTCAGACAATTGTGTGCTTGACGGAATCATCCCATGGCGTCACACCCGCAGTTTCTGTTCCGCTGCACAGAAGCATCCATCCTGCAGAAGATGGAACTTGCGCGGCCGCCATCAGCAACCATGCAAGCCGTGAGTCGTGGTTTGGACCAACGGTTTCAGGATTTCAACCCTTGCTTCTTGATGAAACCTCAGAGGACAAAAAGCACCTCCCGAACCTCCAAACCACCAAAAGGCCAGTTCCTGGCGACTTGGCTTGCAGTTGCAAAGTGCGGCCAAAAGGCGACGCTGAATGAAAATCCCGTGCAAACGCCAACCCACATGAAGAGATCACATCCTAGAAGCTGGATGCAAAGGGCTTGACTCACAATCTTTGGCCCTCCGTTCACAAGCATCCCACATCTGACCTTGAGCAGGACCCACAAAGTGGCCCTTTAAAACCTCCCGCATTGGACCCTGCCACCCAAAGTGGATGAACCACTGCTGTACTCTGAAACGGACTCGGCTCTTGGATGGGGACAGTTTCCAAGACAATTAGGGCCTGTTTCGCCTTCCTAGATGCTGTGGTCGACATGCGGGCCGGGCATTCTCCTTCTGGCCCCCACAAACATGTGTTTTCCTGGCAACGTGATCCCCTCCAGGTGGTTGGTATCCCTGTGATTCCCTTTGATTTCTCCTTTGATTTGCCCTCAGAGTCTTGCGAAAGAGGTTTCATCATATGAACAAATATGAGACAGAAAGTGTACCCAGCGGAGTGCTTGTGATTCGCTCTCTGGGACGGCTCCTTCATGTCCACGCCACACCTGAACTGCTCAACGGCGGCTCCGCGGGCGCACGAGCATGCAGCACTCAAACGGTGCTTGATGAATAGGTGGTTTGTTTTGTTTGAAGCATCCTCGAAAAACGACAAGTCTGGGTCAAAGTGAAAGCCATTGTTGTGAGTGTGTAGTACCTGTACTGTAATAAGCCAAACTCAGTAGTACAATATGCATGCATGAATGCTCGTACGTACGTACGATACATATGTAAGTGCGTACGTGCGTAGGCATGTATCATGCATGTAACGTAATGTAAATGTAAATGTACATGTAAATGGAATACAATGCAAATGCAATGCAACGAAGGCAACGTGATGTACTGCAGTGTAACGTTGTGCTGTACCGTATGCATATATGAAGTGCTTCAATACTATTGACTTCGTGGCCCACCCAGGGCCAAGAAACAAACAGCTGTCGGCCAACACTCGGAAACGGTGGACACATCAACCAATTCGGATTTCCAAAGATAGTGGGTCCGCCGCAATATGGCTGCTTCAGAAAGCTTGGGGTCATAAGGGGTCCATTGCAACTAGTACTGATTGCTTTGCGACAAACATATCGCTCCCTAAACCAACCACCTAGTTTTTCAACACTCAAAGCACAATCCTTCAGGCATCCATTATTGGGCTCTCCTTTCAATGCTTTAAAGAGTGACCATGGCAACTGGTTGAGCTCAGTTTTGCTCCCACCCCCTCACTCACGCAGTTTGCGGCAAGATGCTTCTCCGGATCGGAGATCTCCTTCACCATGGCCATCTGCACCTCCTGCAAACCCTGCACGCAAAGGGCTGACCGTTATTGGCTTACAGCTGGCTTTTCGAACCAAACACTATCATGACCCTATCATTCTGTCACACCTTACTTGTTTCAATGTACACCAAGCCCCTCTTGTCAAAAAAGCTGGTGTTGCAGACCTAAGCCATGGGCTCCTTTTCCCAAATGTCAGGCGAAGCTTGGGGTATTCGGTGTTGGTCTTGTGCGGATTTTTTACCGCGTATCCTCCATTGTCCTCCAAGTCGTATGGCCTGTTCGTGAGTCAACCCCCAGATACCCCCCGGGTGTGGTATTTCGGTGTTGCTCCGACATTCCTGGCACAAGGGTAGACAAATGCTTCCTGGACGGAGAAACCAATTTCCTACCCTTGAGGTTGGCCACGCTTCCAGAAAGGCAAAACTTTGAATCCTTTGGAAAAAGGAATCCGTCGCCTCGCCTGGGCAAGTTGCTCATCATCCAGCTCCGCCTGCAACGTCCGGCGGATCTCCACCTGGCGACCGATGGATAGAGGGCTTGGCCACTGGGAAAAGGAGAAACACCCGCTATGGAGAAGGGGTTGTCCTACCCTCTGCAAAATGAGTGTGGAACCATGGAACAAGCTGATAGCTTTCGACAGATCCAAGGGGTCAAGGATGCCTCGCAAACCATCCAAACAGGGATCAGGGCTTCATCTAACCAAAGGGCTAAAACCCAGAACTGATTCATAAAGAACCTCTGGTTTTCCTGATCTCTGCTCCCCCAAAGAGGCGAGGAAAAAAAGGAACCAATGCTGGATTCCTCTGATTTCGGAGCGAGATGGCACCGCAAACTCTATCACCTTTTGCAGGGTGAATGGGAAACTCAATAGTTTCCAGGGTTCCAAAGGGAAGCAAAGGAAACCGATCCAACTTTGCTCCTTTTTTTCATGAGCAACCCTGAAAACCCAAAAGTGTGCAATCGATCCAACGGAGGGTCCAAAGGCCTGCTGCACTGCTGTGCGATTTTCAGGTGTTGCGGCTTGAGACCCCGACGGCATCGGCGAGGTTGCAGGGGGAGTTCTGCATCTGCGCGAGATGTGCAACCCGGAGATCTCCAAGACTGAGACTCCGGCCCCCTTGAAATTGGATGCCATGCGGGCCATGGGCCACTCATTGAGCGCGAGAGTCGCCAAGGGCACCGGAGAATCGCACCTTCGCTTCCAGCACCGCCAACCTCGGAAGGATCTCCTCGAGGATCGCCTTGGAGGCAGCCTGCAAGGTGCGAAGGTGTCCAGCCTGGGAAACCTGCAGAAAGGCCCCTTTTCTTGCGGGCTCACCTAGACAAGCCCAGACTCCAAAAAGGAAACAAACAAACAAACATCAGGGGCCCAAAAGGACCCCTGGGGTTGACCAGAGTAATTGGGCGATCTTTGCACCGACTTGGGCCAGACCGGGAAATAGGTGGGCAAAACGATGTCCTGGGCGCATTGGAAGTTAGTGCACATCAAAATAAAGTGAAAGAGCTAGACATTCTAGTGGTCAAGTTTTGGATCGCACCTGTTTGATGCGTGTAATTCGAGGTTTGGTGTTTTCAAAAAACGTCATGGCGCCTTGTGGAGTGGGTTTTGTCCTTTCAGGGGAGCCCCATGTCAAGCCTAGGAATCGGATTGCCACGAGTGGCAAACGAAGCGCCCAACAACTTGATTCGCGTTCCTTAACTAAGAGGGACTTGGCAAAAGCTCAAAGGATCCCATGTTTGTCAAGGGTCGCAACCCTGGTGCAACCAACAGAAAATGGCCAGAGTCTGTACATCTCTGTGCCCAATTTGGGCTATGGCATTGCCTTGAAGGCGGGCACGCAGGCGTTGGCAATGTGCTGGGGATCCGAGTCCTGTGGATGTCGAGGATCGCGGACGTTGCCGGCCGGGGGGCACAAACGCCGGGCTCCAGTTTTGCCTTTGGTCGTCTTCACCTGGTCGATTTGTTTTGCTTCCTGCATCGGGGGTTGTACATGTGTGCGCCGGCCATTTTGGATGATTGAAACATCGGGCCACCAAAGATGATCGAGTGTTCGGTTGGTTGGTTGATTGCTTGCTTGCTTGCTTGGTTGGTTGGTTGGTTGGTTGGTTGTTTGGTTGGGGGCACTCGGACCCAGCACGTCCGTTCTGATGCGAAGACGAATAAATAAACCAGTTGCTTGAACGCAAAAGGGCTGGACACCACACTCAGTGCTTCTAAGCAAGCTACGACTGGTAAAAAGGGCAAGACTCACCCAATACCTCTGGGGTTCGACCCACTTTCTCAAAAGAAGGATGCATGAAGAAAATCGGGAAGGCACACGGTCAGACTATAGGTAACCAGGGCCCTTCCAGAACCTTCACTGGAGAACCCATCGTCGACCCTAGCTAAAGGGGCCAAGGAAACCCGCCAAAACGTCAGAATCCCTTCGAATCCCCAAAGGTGAACTCCGCTTCGCTTCGGTCCTGGTGTCCGAAGAGGCTGGAGCTGTCCTGAAGTCAGCGCAAAGACTCAAAAGGCCCGAGATTCCTTTCAAAAAATGGGCATGCCCTTGTGGGGTTGGTAATTTGAGCTTTCTCTGTGTGAAGACAAACCTAAATAGAGGGCACTGATAGACAATTAGACCCATACTGAAATCAGTGGTCTATCTTGAACCACACTGACCAAAACTGACACCTAGTAAGCCACGACAGCAGCGCACACAGTTGGTTTGTCGAGAATGTGGTTTGCCTTACATACTTCTAGCCTTCTAGCTGTCTCCTCACCACCCTTCTCAGAAAATGGTATCCGAAACCAAGGTTTCGGAAGTCTTTGGCTTCTGAACAGAAGATTATTTGGTTTTTGTTCCCAGAGATTTGTATTGCTCAAGCCCTCTATTGGCTGTCTGGCCTGGCCGGCCAACACCTTCTCCGTGACCTGGCTGCGCTTCAAGGCAACCCCGAGCTTCAGATGGCTAGTTTCAGCCGTTTGCCGGCCGCCTGATCCAGAAAATGCCGGAAACACCGGTGATGGATCCTTTGCTTCAGAGGTTCCAGCTTTGTCACTTGGGCTGTAAGTCTGGGAGTTGGAGAAACGGATTGGTCCCTGTATGGTACCAATGCGTTCCCACAGTGGCAATGCATACCAGGTTCCCTAGATTCTCCTCTAAGCATCACCCCACCAGAAGGATGCTCACTTTGGATTGTCACAAAAGGAAGTTTGAACCACCAAAGAGTGAGAAGAAAAAACAAGAGCGGCACAAAGGCGCCTTCTGCCGCTTGTCCTGGCAACACGAGCGATGCTCTCAATGACTCATGCAGATTCCCGCAGCTTTCCGGCAAACCCCAAAGGGACGCCAGGAATGATACCCCCCTTGTTGATTCATAGACGGGGCGTGTGCCATTTTAGAGAGAATCCTTCCCTTTTTGGGGGAACACCTCTCTAAGCATCTGACAGTTGATTGATCCGAAGTTGATAGAGTACTGGCGACTGCAGGAAACACAATACGTATGATTATCGTAAAATATAAACTATACAGATACATGTATATTATATGTATACATTGTACTTTGTATTACTTTGTATTGTATACATATATGTGTAATCATGCAGCATGCCAAGCTCAGGAATCCCTGAAGTGAGGCAGCTTCATCATGCTGGCTCGGTTCACCCCTAGGAGAGCTTCATCGCATGTCTGCGAAGTAGTCCGAACGCAGCACGAACACACTCTCACTGCAATCTGTCCTCTTCAAAGAGGGTGCGCATGAGCCACAAGGCCTCCACTTGGAAACGGATCGGTCCCGATTGCACTGCCTGAATGTGCCCTGCAAAATGAGTTGGCCAACTTTGGAGCCCGGTCCCTCTTCTCGTCCTCCCCAAACCAAGGGAGGACCCGATAAAATTGTCAGTGACTCACATAGTAAGCAATTGACAATATTAGAGGCTCAACTGAGAGGTTGCCTTACTTGTTGTGGTGGCTCATGCTTCCACTGCTCATGAGGAAAAACCGTTAACGACCATTGTCATGTCATGGTTCATTTGGATAGTCCCAACTCCTTTTGCTGGAAAAACAGTGCGCTGGCCAGCTAAAACTTTTAGGCACCTCCGACATTTACCAGTTTTTTGGAGCCTGTCCAGTGGCTTGGTGGGCGACGGTGGAAAAATTGTTCAATCCTTGAAAAGCACGTATCATTTGGGTGGTGGTGTTCCCCTGACCTTCGCAGTGCTCCATGTGAGAACACCGCAAACGACAGATGCGCGTGTGTTAAATTTGATGACAGTTACACAGGGGGACTGCCGTCTTTGACGATGGAGCAGTGGTCGAATCCCGTTGACGTTTGGTTGTGCCAACCTGAGGTCTAGACGAACCCGGCAGAATGCATTTCTTCGCCAAAAAGGACATGGGTTCACCGCCAGTTCTTTGGGGCAAGCAACAACAATGTCAGTGACTCACACAGAGGCCTTGGCGGCTGTTCTCCCGATGAAACCTGGGAATAGCCCCTAAGTTGCCGAACAGCACTCGGTGAGTCCTGAACTCGAGTTCCGCCCGCCTGTTGTCGCTGCATCGTTGGGAAGGCCTGCAAGACTCTGGTTGTTTGGAAGGGGCGGGGTGAGTGCGCTGATGATTTGTTCTTCTAGATTCCCAACCATATAAGGAACACGGAACTGTAAATGGAGACCTGGAGTCAAGACCACGTTCCTTCAAAATCAAGAGGGTGTTGAATGTTGAACAATACAACGTCATCTTAAAAAGGGGTTCAAGGCAACGGCCATTCTCGGCCCCCAGTTCGAACTGGAGAAGCCGAGGTTGAGGATTCAGGGACAGGGTGTCATGTGCGTGGGGATTGAGCTTTTGCCAGTGGAGCCTGGTAAACAACCCAAAAAGGGTTCCCGCAATCAAAACATCCACGTGAGCAATTGATCACTAAACATACCCTTTCCAAGAAGTACAAAGTCCTCACAATTGAGAAGTGCGATGATCTCGAGAGATTTGGACTCCTCAGCCAGCCCCAATTGAGGCTTCGGCCGCGGAGAGTGAGGTCGCAGTCACCACCTGCGCTCTGCGAACAATGGCACGCTCTGACTAAGTCGGTGAGGTTGATGGCACGTTTGGTGAGGGACCTTGTCAACGTCTCGAACAAACACAAAAACCGCTCTTCTTTGGACAAGTGACTAGTTGGGGGCATTTCTCTACATCTGTAACTTGGGTTTGTCTAGAAACTAGGGGAACCCCAAAAAGGTACTAGTTATCATTTGGCTTCCCTTTGAACCAACCAACCCGAAAAGAGTGTATCAACCCTCCCTTTGTGGGTTAGCAAAGCTGACTCTGGCGTTGGCACAAGGGGGGTGGTCAGCCCACCCATCCGGAGGATCCTATTAACTAGTGAGAGACCCCCTCATCCCCTCCCCAAAATAGATCATTTCCTTACTAAAGCGGAACCACCCTGATTGGTGCAGTCCTTCGGATTTGATCCGAAGATGACACTAGAGAAAAAAAAACAGCACCTGTGTCCCGCTCGCCGCATGACCTTGCAAGGCACTGGCCTCGCCTTCTCCGGGTGGCAGTCCAAATTCAGCAGCTTCCGCGCAAGTGCGTGGAGCGAGATGAAGCCCCAGGTCTCCTGCGTAAAGTTCTCGAGAGGAGTGGGCAAGGTGTGTGTCTTGGGTGGCTGAAAGGGGAAACCAAAGGAGAACCATCCTATGTTGAGACAGCATGACTAATTAAACAATAATATAATGGGAACACGATTGATACAGCTTTGGATGACTCGTAAAAAGCAGTCCGGCTCTCGTTTGTGGGAGCTGCACGCCCTCTCAATTCGGGCTCCCCACCTCACTAAAAGGAATTTGTAAGTGGGAAACAAGCTGATGTCTGAAACCGCCCTTTCGGGGATAGATCCAAAGCTTCAACCTAGGGCACTCCCAAAACGGCTCAATTCCCCTGTTGACGCGCCTTCATCCGCCTGAAGTAGCGCCAAGTCCTCGTTCGGAAACAGCTTTCGCTACACGCTGTGCCTTGGCGCCTAAGCCAACCCTAAACCCAGCCTCAACCATCCCGAAACCAACCCTACACCAACCTTGAAACCAACCCTGAACCCACTAAACCAAAATAGCTCCTCGGCCATGCGGGGAGGGTATGCTACAGGCATTTAACCGATGCGAGTTTTGTTGACAGAGCTGCGCTTGTACTGCGCCAAAACCTGACCCCCAACGAGTGCTTGCAGACACAGGATAGCTTTAGAAAAATCCAACGAAGGTCATATGAATGCGGAGAACGCCCAGCATGGCCTTTTCCGAGGGTCAAGGGCCCTGTCGAATCACGTTTCATATCCAAGGGGGGCCTTCCTGACGTGATTTCCTGCATGCCTCTGCTCATGATTTGCCCGGTGATGCCTTTTGAGAGCCGCATTTCGAAATGTCCGCAGCGTTTCGTCAGACAATCCGCGTGGAAACACACACACACACACACATCATTCGCATCATTCGCATCATTCGCATCGTTCTCCGGAAGCCTTCAAGTTGGATGTCGCAAAACTGCCCGTGCCGAGCGGCTGGGTAACGATGGTTGGTGCATCAGCCCTCTTTCCCAGCACCTGCGGCACGAACAGACTGGTATGTTTGCTCGAGCCGGTGCATATTGTATATATATATATATTAATATAGCAATATATATATATATATATGACAAGTGAAAACATATATCTAAAAATAATGTGTCCTTCCGTGGGTTGCTCCCAAACGGAAACCGAAGGGAAAGCCGGCTTCATTTCGTATGCTCCCTTTTTGGAGACGAACCCGCATTTCTAGAGAAGATTACACTAGCCACTAATGTGGACCCCAGAAACCCTGTTGTGGGCCTCGTGCCTAAGGGAATGCAAATCAACCACATACTGAGTATTGCTGGGGATTGGGTACGCACTAAAGACCAATTGTACTGAATGAAAATCTGAGGCTCGCTCAAGGACTTCAACATGGTCCTGAAAGAAAGCGTGTCTCTATGTCTGGGTGAACTACATCAAAAGATCAACTAACCGGCAAAAAGGGAACTCCAAGAAACGATCCTCCATCACCAGCACCCCCCAATAGCTGGCCAATTGCCGGCACATCGGTTTTGGGCAAAACGATGTCACTTTATGTCTAAGTGACTGCAAAAAAGCAATTTGCTATCAAGTATCACTAATCTGTACTTAGTGCAATTTGTGCAATGATACAAGTGGGTCCTTTGGAATGGGGTTGCCGGGGAAAGGGGAGAGCAGCAAATTTGAGGCTTGGAGGGCAAGTTTGAGGTTGGGAGGGGTTCTTGAGGAGTGTGTCACGGCGTGTCACGGCGTGTCGGGGGGTGGCCAATTGCCGGCACACGTACGTTGAACGATCACTTTTTTGGGATATGAGCGTGTCACCAGCGTGTCGCCCCCCCTCCCCCCCCCCCGCGCGTTGCATGTGCAATGATCATACATGCCAGCCCAACCCCTCAATTGGATCCCCTCTAGTATCCTGAAGTGTGACTTTTCACTGCACTTTGATGATAGCAAAAAACATCTATGTGACTACAAAACCGTTTTTAAGCAAGTGCTGGTCAATTGCCAGCACTTCACCCGGGACGCCAATTACCGGCCATCGGGGGGGCCTGGCAGTTCTTTTTTAACCGGTCGCAAACCAAATCCCTGTGTAGGGTTGCTACAATTTGCCCAAGCAACAAGCGACCAAACATTTGGAAGGGGAGACATCCGGGACCCCTAATTGCGGGCAAGCTGCTCAGAACCCTTCGATCAGAACCCCTTCTAAGCATCCTTCCGAACCTTTCAGGGGGGGGCACACAAAGCGCCTAGTCTACCAGAGAGCCTGGGCCGCTGCGGCATAGCTGTCCAGCACCATGGCCAAAAGCATGTTGAACAGGACCAGCAGGGCGAAGCAAATGTACACCACCTGGGTGTGGCTCTGTTCTTTGGTGTTTTTCTCTGATTCATAAGCAATATCATCCTCAAACAAGCGCCCCTCGAAAAGGAGACTCCTCCACTTTGATGCATACGTTTGTTCCTTCCTTTTATCCACCTTAGATGGTGCGGTAACCAGCCAAGTGATTCGTAGCCCCCCATCAATGTCCTGTTTACCTGTCTGTAAACTCTGGTAAGTAGGGTCGATGACCATCTATGTGCGGAGATCGATTTCCTTCTTGTGACAATCCATTTGATGCGAAATTGCTCCTGAGCTCGCTGCAAACCAAAGGTGCACCAGGACCTCAGTGCGGTCACAGTGTCCTCGGCTTTGTTGCTTTCCATGCTTACCCATATCTCGTCAAATCATTGGCAGCGGATGCTGACCGGAGGTTGTATTCAACCCTCTTCATTGAGTGATTGCCCGTTTGTGGAAATGAATTGTCAGCTCGTGACAAAACAATTCATGAACTCCACTTGCCCAAAAGACCTGGCCTGGTCCAGCTCACTGACTCAGGCCCTTGCCACTGGCAGCCCGGAGTTCCTCGCTTTGTCACAGCTTCGTGCGCTGTCGGCTAACACGCCGCATGACAGGGGTCCCGAACAGCCAGTACTATTTCAAGGACCTCTTTGGCAGGGCGATGACTAAGGCGCTCACAGCCAGCCTGTCTTGATGCCTCGGGCTGGTTTGGAAATGAACAGCACAATGAGATGCTCAAAAGCAGCCTGCCGTGCCGCCTTAACGTCAAAAAGAAAAAGGGACTTCCCAAAATGGTTGGCTTTCTCTTGGCTTTCATAAACAACTTCGCATGGGTCCCTTTAGGCAACTCCCTCGCGCACGATCCGGCCTGCCACAGCCACATACCAGTCGAACTCCCCCATGAGCGTGCTCATTGAGGCCTCAAGACGCTGTATGAGCCGCGGGTATCCAGAAAGTCGCAAGGCACGGCTCCTGATATCTGTGCATCCATATCTGATGTCTTAGAACATAACATAAATGTAATGCCAAATAGTATATCTCATACCTTCTATTTTTACTCACATCTGCAAGTCATGGGTCTTCGCATCACAGGACATGGCCCCAACTTACTTCTCCAGCTCACCGAAAGTTGAAAAGAGGAAAGCAATTCTGGGCCCCTATGAAGGTCCCTTTCATGGGCTTCCTTAAATCCAGTTCGTAGATGAATCAACTGCTTAATGGGATTCCTCTTTCTGGCTGGATCAAGCAAACCTTTCATGTTGCTATTCAATCCAAAGTTGTTGTTTTTTTAGGTACCGCAAAAGGACATGCCATTCCAAACACCGGGATTGTTTGGGCTCCTCCTGTTCATATAGAGAAAAGTACCCAGACCTTTCAACTCAGAAGCAGCTCCAAACCTCTGCAAAGGGCCTCGAAGCTGGCCCCCAGGGAGGCGAACTGGACGATGTCATTGCCGAACCTTGCACTGGATCTGGACGGATTTGTAGCGTCAGGGGAATTCCTTCTCTGTCGCGAAATGTGTTTTGTGCAGAGGGGGCACAAGGGACTTTGCAAAACTTATGTACCTCCGGGAACCGATTGCCATCTTTTGAGTGTGGCAACAGCAATCCCACAGCCCACGCGGCGACCGTCTCAGCACATCTGCCCAGGACTTCTTTTGCCAAACAGGAGACTTCAAACAGAACTGGGTTTTCTGTTGGTTTCCCTTCAACATCTCGAGGAGGACACACCTCATTCGAATCTCAGAACTTTGTGCCCCCAAGGAACATTTCACAAATGAGGCGACTTCAAAAACTACAAACCCGCTTGTCGAGGCTTTGCAAAGGACGCAAAAAGAAACGACCCATTGTGACACAACATATTGTCGGGGTGCCTGACATGCCCCCTTCAAGCAGTATGCCTTGGCGTCAACCGGCTGATAAAATGAGGTTCACCCGAGGGGTTCTAGGGACCCTTCTAATTCGGGACGCCTGTTCGAAAAAGGCACCCAAATGCAATGCTTGACCTCCAAAGCAATTCTTCTGCGGCCAAAGAGCAGGACATGGGCGATGATGGCAAAGCAAGCGAACCTCATAGTCAGCAAAAGGTGTCCACGCGGAAGGAATGGAATTGTGACCACCCTCAGAATTGCATTTCAAAGATGGAAACAATTACTTGCTTCGTTCTTGTTACGCATCAGGGATCTTTCTGTCACAACCGGGCCAAAAAACAGGGACTTGCTATCTTCTATGGGTTGTTGCAATAGAACTGCTTCTGCTGAGCAGTTCTGGCTGTCCAAGCTCCAAGGATCCAACAACAATCCCCAGGTCACAGGTCCTTTGACGATGGGACAAGCGCAAAGGATGCAACCCTCAAAGTTCCGGCTCGTGCAACTCGCTGAGAAGGCGGGCAATGTCCAGAAGATCAGGAAGAAGTGCCTCAGTGCGCTTTCGCAAGGCCAAATCAAATGCACTCGCACACTTTACACACACGCGCACACCCTTGCTCTGCGAAGCAACTCCTGCCCTCCCCCCCACCCACACCTCTCCCCGCGCGCCCCGCACCACCTCACCGCGCCCTCCTCACCCCACCTCTGCCCCACCCCCTCCCCCACGCCCACATGCCTGCCCGCCCGCCAGAATCCACTCACGAACCGCAATTCTGCCAGGGAGCGCAATGTTGTTGACGCCTCAGTTTTGCTCATTACTAACCTCCATCTGGCCCAAAGCGGTTGTGATTGCTTACTTGGGCTACCAACAGCCGTGATTGGTCCAAAGAGCCAATCATACGTTTCCGCGTTCTGAGCCCTTGAGTATCTCCTGACAAGGACGCGACCCAACTGAACGGCCCAGTCTGCGCGAGGCGGTCTTGATATCCAACATGGAAGCTCTCACCCTGGGCTTGAGCCACAAGCAAAACCTAAAGCTTGGTTGGATAGCAGGGATCGCAACACCTTGCCATAAAATTATCTGTAGATTCAGGGAGAACTTCAAGCAGATCAGCCTTTTGGAAGCAGTATTCTTCTAAACACGTATTGACACCTTTTGGTACGTCGTGCCTTGAGGAGGGCTCTTAAAGATTCAAACGGAGTAGAAGTAGGGTAGCATCTCCTTAGGTAGGATCCCTCGGAAAAATAGAAAATAATTCGCATGTAGTTGACCTTGTGAAATTCCGGTTCGATCCCAGCAGCTCTTCGCCAGCGCGTCCGCCACGATCTGGAGCCGCGGGTTTGCTCTGAAGCCCTCAGAAGCCGTGGATGTTGGGAGGGACAAAGCCCCCGAAATCAGCACTGCAGTTCAATGATTTCTCTGGTTGTCCTGAGGCTTCTCTTGGGTTTCCTTGGTGTTTTTTCTTGGGTTTTCGTTTGTTTCTTCCTTGGTTTGCCTTGAGTTCTTTATTGTCTTTCTGGATTTCCTGAAGCTTGCCCAGATTATCTTAACGTGTTGTTGTGTTTGCTTGATGTCTTTCGGGTTTTCCTGGGTTTTGCGCATTAGACCCTGTGTTTATTAAACTCCAGCTTTTCTGGAGTTGCCCATGCAAAATACGTGATCTTTTCCATAATAGTTTCCTTTCAATCCAAAAAGGAGAGCCACCCCCCAAAGGACATGTGGTCAACATTCACCATGTTGGAGGTAAGCAACCACTTGCTTATTGAATATCCTCCACTCGTTGGTCTGCTGCTTGGCCCAATCACTGGCGGTCATCTTTCCATCAACTGCCGTCCCCTTTCCTCCGAGACTTGGAAGGACCAAGGGGGACAACTGAATGCTTTGTCGAGCTGCGTGCGAAGCAAAACCCCACACAGTGTCTCTAGAGTTTCGCCAGATTGTGCGGCGTGCGACTGTAAGGCTAGGCAAGGAGCCCGGCCTTACAAAACCATATAGAAGAGGCTTACAAAAAGGCACCCCAGTTGACCAACTCCCAGCAAAAAAAAGCTACTTGCAGCAGCGCTACAGGTTGAGGTGATGTTCATTTTATGAACTGATGAACCCAGGAAAACTTGCGGCCGAGGCACCTTGAAAAACTTCATGACAACGGTGATGGTCAGCAGACTGGTGAGGACCTGAACCTGACAATCCAAAGTCAGAGGGTTCCGCCGAAAGCTGACAGGTGCTCAGGGCCTAAGGGAAACCTCAGGGAAAAAGCGTCCACTTTGGGGAACAGCTGTTTGGAGAAAAACGGCACAAAGCACTTGTATAGTCACTCATATCTGTGGGATCCAATCATTTTGCAAGTCGAATGCAATGGCCCGCCACTGGCAAAACATCATAGGATCCCACCCCTGCGGTAAGCGCAGGGTCTTGTTGACGGAACCGGGAGAGGGAAGGCGGAATCCAACAGGACATCCGCATCCTGTGGCTCCCCTTTTTGCTTCAAATGTAAGCCTCAGAGAAACCTCCACACCGCTTTTGGGGACCGGGAAGCCAGATGAAACCCAGGTCAAGACCAGGGTCGAGTGAAACCCGAGGAAACTCAAAACCAAAAAACCGGACATCGCGGGGAATCTCCAGGGCCGCGGCGGCTATGAACCAGCGCCTGATTGCCACGAGCTCCTCCTCGGCCAGTTTTCACCAATTGTGCAAATGCAACCCTCAAGTGAACGCCATGGGGCCCGAGCCTGTCGCATACTGGTGAAAAATGTTGCGGAAGTTCACCAGAGCACGGAACGGAACCAGGCAGTGTGGAAGTGAATGAATTGCTTACACACCACGAGGGCTACGCAGCTACGCGAAGCACGACTTTCCGGGCGCCAGAACACATCTTTCCCTTGTTTTTGCCACACATGCACACAAACACACAAGCACGCAAACACACAAACACACAAAAACACAAACACGCAAACAGAAACACAAACACAAACACAAACACAAACAAACAGAAACACAAACAAACACAAACACAAACACAAACACAAACACAAACACAAACACAAACACAAACACAAACACAAACACAAACACAAACACAAACACAAACACAAACACAAACACAAACACAAACACAAACACAAACACAAACACAAACACAAACAAACACACACACACACACAACACACACACACACACACACACACACACACACACACACACACACACACACACACACACACACACACACACACACACACACACACACACACACACACACACACACACACACACACGCACGCACACACACACGCACGCACGCACGCACACGCACACACACACAGACACAAACACAAACACACACACACACACACACAGACACACACACACACACAGACACACAGACACACAGACACACAAACACACAGACACACACACACACACACACACACACACACACACACACACACACACACACACATACACTTACACACACACACACGCACACACGCACGCACGCACGCACGCACGCACACACACACACACAAGCATCGCACCCGCACTTGATCATTCTGGGAACTGTAAAGAGCAAGTACTGGTTGCCGTGCCTTGAAATCATAGGTAATACAAGAACAACAAAGCAAACAAGTAGCTGTCCCCCGCCCCCCTCCGTGTCTCGTCCTTTGTGCGTGGGGGGACAGTGTTCGGACCGATTGTGGAGAATCTGGCCGGCAGGCCTGCATCGTTTCCAGCTCCTCTTGACTCAGCGTCAGGGAATTGAAGTTCTCCTGAGACGCACAGGGAATATTTTGACCCGGGACGTGGATCCCAAGTTGAACAACGTTGGACCCCGAAGGCAGGCGCAAACAAGTCGATGGAAGTGCATCCTCTCGGGTGAATTTGAATTCACGCGCTGAAATGAGAAATGCACACCAAAGGAAGCTTCATGGGTGAGGTCGCAAGAGTTGCAAGCGAGGTTGCGATTTCGTTGAGACAGATTTGTGGCAGGGTCAGACAGACATACTCGGAGTCGGACACTCTGAAAAAACATAGCTCCAGCAATTCGCCACATTCAAACTTGGGTCGCAGCTGGGGCGTTCAATTTATCCAAAAAGGACAGAGGTAATTTCGGTCAAACTAAAGCAACCACTGCTTGAAGTATCTGCAAACCGTCTTTGCCACCGGGCGCCAAAGTGAAAGGAGTTGCCCAACTTTGGATGAAGGAACGCTACTCTTGAGTCCCTGAGGATGAGGGGTTCAATTCAAGAGTGCTTGCCTACGCACAAACCCGTCCATTTGGCCCATTGCAAGACATGCAAGAAGGCTTTTTGCAAAAGCTGAATACAACCAAGGCCGTGGACTGGAAACGGCCTTTCGAGACATTTCAAATCATCCAACCCACAACCCCGCTTCGTTCAAGTTGGCGTCCAACCCCGAAACAAAACATCAGGTTGATACCGGCGTAAATTGGATGGATGTGAGAGACTTTTCCAGAAGGAGCTCTCTGCAAATCTCGGCAACGTTTTGGGGGGCTCGCCCGTCCTGCACTCTGTTTCCGGGAAAAACGCCACGAGTTGGTCATAGAGTCATACACCAACCCGGCTTGCTTGCCCAGTGGATGGAAGAAAGAAAGTGCGCCTTTGTTGGTTGGAACTAGAATATAAAGGGAACAACAACAAAACACAAATCATGATAGTTGCTCACTTCCTACGTGGATTGGGCAGAAAAAACGAAGAAACCATCCAAATGATGCAGCATGTAGCTGTAAGTCCAGAAACTGGGAAAATGAGGGTGAAATCCACAGGGCCAGCTGAAAGTCGCGGGCGGGCGACTGCGCCCTTCCCCCGCCTCTCGAACTGACTGGAGCAGGGCTGAGTTGATGTGCCTAAGGCCAGAAGTGATTTGAGTCACCGCGTCTGAAGAGACCTCCTGGATCCCATTGCTTGAGCAAAATGGGCCTCGAACCAGTTAAAAAACAATCTCCAAGAAACAGCAGGAAATTTGCCAGAGAGCCTGCCACCACCCTTGCTCTTGGTAGGTGTTCCGCCATCCCCCAATCGCCAGCCTTCAGGCTGTTTTAGCCCATGTTTCCCTTTGGAGGTGGTAACTCTGGTACGTCTACAAAATGAAGGCCTAAAGCTGATTGTGTCCATATTGGTTCCCGTTAAATCCAAAAGGATGATCTCATTTGTGAGACAACTGATTTCCAAGTCAAGCAATCTGCACACCCGAGCGGCGCCAGCGTAGTGAACCACACCACCACCGTCACTATGGCCAGGAAAATGCCTCAGGGCCCCGGCGGCAAACATAAACTAAACATAACCGCTAAAATGGTCGGCTAAATTCTCCAAATCCAAAAATACTTTTTACTGCCTGTTGGCTTCCCTTTAAAAGATCGCGTCGGTGCACAATCATCCTTCCCCCCCCGTTTGGGAAGTCCCTCATCACACAGACAATAGGATGCGCAATGAGTCGGGACTCATTCATGTCCAACTATGCAATCGGCTCCTGACATGGTCAAACTAGCCCCTTGCAGAAAGTGAGTCCAACTTTTTCCTGCCACTGGAAGCAGTGATTTCCCAACAAGTCCAAACGGTTCGGTGAAAAGAGCAGCCAATAACTGACACGGGAATCCGGGCCCCCAGGTTCTACTTTCAATTTCAGGTTTGTGTACCCGTGCTATCTCCTGCACATGATGGTGCGAATAAGGGATCATGAATTTCTCCGCCCACACGTATCACAATTTCATATGGAAAACCCTTCGAATTGCCATGGACCAGCTGGGACAATAGGAGGACACCCATGGTCCCCTATATATATATATATGGCAGTTGATCAATATTCCTGTTTCCGGAAAACGCCATCTTCGCGAGAAAAAAAGTTTCTTTCGCGAATCTTTCGCGACTCCATCGCCAAGCCCTTTCGTTTGCCCTTTTGTTTGCAGCATGCGCTCTGGAGCCATTGTGGCTGCTGCAGTTATGCTTGCGCACAGGATAGCCGCATGCGTGCAGTACGTAGTGTTAAGTGCAAGCAGTCACTGTCATTCGCCCTTGCCACTTGCGCTTGCCGGCGATGTGCGGAACCTTGCAACAGGCTCCCTGGCCTTTCGCCGGTCTTTCGCGGATCTTTCGCGAAACTTGCTCCAAAATAGCCCAGCCAACGTTATTGATTTGCGCCATTCCCAACACAGGCAGGGAATCAATAATGCAAGTGTAGGTGCTGCGTATCTCCCTCTACAAGGGAGCGGGGTCTGCAAATATGTAAGTGCACAGGCATGCCTCCAAAAATCCAACGCGGAATCTTTCGCGAAAAAATAAGTTTCTTTCGCGAACTCCATCGCCGATCTTTCGCGGAGGGATTTAAGCCAAGACGAATGGTCACCGAATACATAACTCCTTGCAAGGACCTTTTGATCAACCCCCATATACACGCATATCACCCCTTTAACCTCACCCAACCAAAAGCCAAAAGGGAACTCACACTGTCCTTTGGTCTGCCACAAGCACCGAGGTGCTATTGAACAACTGAGTAAGGTGATGACTTTCGTTGAATCCCCGACGGCAAGTAGGCAACGGGAAATCCGGTAATCTACCCATTGTGGTCGGTTTAGGTAAGAAAGACATTGTGCGCATGGATGTGGGGGTTCCAAGTCTTCTTGCAGACACATAAGATCGTTTCAGCCCAGCAGCACGTCCAGTCCACGGTGTTCCAAATGCCCCAGTACCTCCGCTTTTCAGCGATGACTGAAGAAACCTATCGACACAAACAATTCTTTGCAAAGGAGATAAACTGAGATTCTGCTCGAAATCATTCCCGTGGGAAGTTGGGCCGTTGGGGATAAAGCAAATATAAGGCTGAATGGGAAAACTACCCAGTGGCCAAGGATTGCCCAATGAAAACACCCACGTACTGGTATTGTTTCTAGTTGCTGGTTGTTCATGGGAAGCAAAAGCATGCCAGGCACCACCAACATTTGGAGGGGTCAGCTGTTGCAATGTGCACACCATGGTCAGTGTTTCAGTGACCCTGTCCGGAAGTAAACACGTTTTGTCAACAGAATCCGAAAAAGCAGTTTGGGAGGGGCGGAATTGGATCCTATGAAACCTGAGGCTGGAAACCATGTTGGACCCTCCCCTCTGCCACCGCGCCTCAATAGGGCCCGGCACCCGTGGGACATCGCGGCCAGGGCGTCCTGTGGAACAGAAACCTATTATTTTCAGCGCCACTAAGTGAGACGTTGTTACTTGACGGTACCAGGAAACCCAGTTGATTCAAAAACTGCTAGTGGAGAAGGTGCTTCGCTCACGCCCGTTCCACTTGTGTCGGTGCCAAACAGGTGAGGCAGTTTTACCGGCCATGTCCATTCCCTCTGTTTGTTCCATATCTGCCGCTAACTTCGGATGAATGGGAGGACCATACAGGGGTTTTGGATTTGGCAGTCGTCTTAGGGGGATTCTGAGTGTGTGTGTGCGTGTGTCTGGGAAAAAACCGATCCAAACGAAAACTCGGCACCTTCAGCTCCATGAGGGCCAGGTAGCCGAGGATGACTGCCATGAGCAGGTTCACCACCAGCTGCGATACGGACACCTGCAGGAAGCAGCCCTCAAACAAATATGAACAAAGACATGAGTAACTCATAAAAATATGAGCTGACAAACAAAGGGACATAAACGAAACATGACGAGCTGGAATTATGTGACATGTCACCCGGAGTGCGACAATGTCACTTAAAACAGTTCATGGTAGTCCAAGCCCTTCGTTTCCTCTGTCGACCCATGCCCTCCCCGGATACACATGGACCATGTCCAACCTGCAATATTGTGTCTCAGCTCACCTGTGAAAAGTCGGTGGTCCGTGCCCCAAATTCCGTGTGGCACCACACTGCCAACGTATCGACAGGCTTCCTGCTTCCTCACCCTGCGCCCGGCCTCGGTCCTATCTGGACATGAGGTTGTTTGGACCCGCAGGTCCAGAATACCTCGCCCGAAGCAGCAGATCACGCTCCAATGCGTTTTTTGTGCAAGGAAGGAGCAAGTCTAGGGCCTGGATGCCGACCTCTCATACACTTGTTGGGGTTTGGATGTGGTGTCTTGATGGTTTGCTGGTTCGACAGAGTTCCGCATATTCCTTAAACACCACTCCCCTGAAGAAGACTGATTTACCTCGGCCCAAAAGGCGATGTTTAGAACCACCACAAGGATGCCCTATGATTTTCGGCAACGGCCAAAGGCGCAGTGCACAACTTGCTCCCGGCCTGTGGGCATGAACAAGGAGGTCACCTGTCGCTCGCTCAGCGGCACCAGCCGGAGTCGCATATGAACATTTGGAAAGCCTCTTGGATCCTGTTTCTAGGGGGCTGTAGGGGGCTGTCTGTCATGTGGGTGGGGAGGATTCCACTTCAAGACGTGCAAGCCTTGCCCAGCAAGAGCAGCTTGGATTGCTCCTCGGGTCGGAAATGGTGCATGCCTTACTCTGAGGGGTAAATGAAATTAATGCTTGGGGGTTCTTTCGGAGGTTGCAACTAACAAACCCTTGTTCATAACCACTAAGTGAGCTCCTTCAAGAGGTGCTGCCCTGACTCACATTACCCCCTCCGAGCACTGAGCTCAGCGCATTGTGCATGCTGAAGCTCACCTCAATGTTGGATGACAAGGGGTCGTCCAAGCGAAGATTTGTCCTGCGACATCTGGATGTGATGGTCTCATTTTAAACAAAAACAACCCATATGCAAAAACACAACTGAAAAGTCCTTCCTAATTTTCGGACCCCTTCCTCTCCAATCGATTGAAGTGATGACTCCACAGCGAGCGTCCTCCTGAAATGCTCGAGCGCTGTCCTGGCTGCGCCTCAGCCAAGTCCAGGATGGAACCCTCTACCACAGAACATACTGCAGCTTGACATGGAACCCACAAGAACCATCTATAGAGGGACTCCTTTTTGGGAGCCAGCGCGCCTACATAGTCACCAGTGCTGTTGGACAAGTAGCTCTGCGCCTCAGAAAGTTGTCCAACACATGGCATGCCTTTGGAGAGTAAGGGGCTGTTTAATTGAACACTATTGGGGACGTTCCCGCATTCCTCTTCAGCTGGTGCAAGCAAGCGACAGCATCGCTGTGGAGCAGCCAGTGCGATGAGATCACCCCCTCCTGGGAAGTCGTTCAGGTTGCGTCTTTGACAAAAGAACGCCTCCCTTTGGGGTCTCGACTTGTCTCAGAGTGGGGGACCGCACTGGGACCGCCTTTGCAAACCTGAAGGAAAAACAATCACCTGAAGGAGTGCGTTGGTTTGTTTGAGACACAGCCTTATTATCCTGGAGACGATGTCAAAAGGCAATCCATGGTTGAAGGGCAAACGGATGCTGCGGCTGTCCCTGTCAGTGTTGGAGATGCGGATGTCACCAAGCAGGATGTTAGAACCTCCGGCGAACCCCCCTCTCCACCCGAGCTCTCGAGAGAGCGACCCTCAGTAGTCTTCAACAAGGTTCCAACTTGTGAGTTGGTCTTTTGACACGTTTTTCGCGAAAGCAATGTCCAATGGGGATTAGTAAAGGGGAGCCCCCCCCCCCCCCTCCCCCCAACGATGGGGGCATGGGGAATAGTATGTTGAGGTGAGTTTCCATCAGATTTAGTATTGGTAGACTTGAGTTTCAAATTGATTTAGTATTGCTGGAGCTTCCTTTTGAGATTTGGAACTGAGTTTCAAATTGATTTAGTATTGCTGGAGCTTCCTTTTGAGATTTGGAACTGAGTTTCAAATTGATTTAGTATTGCTGGAGCTTCCTTTTGAGATTTGGAACTGAGTTTCAAATTGATTTAGTATTGCTGGAGCTTCCTTTTCAGATTTGGAACTGAGTTTCAAATTGATTTAGTATTGCTGGAGCTTCCTTTTCAGATTTGGAACTGAGTTTGCATTTGACTTTATTGTCAGGGCCCCTGGAATAAAGTCTTGGGCTTAAAATTTGGGGGCTTGAAGTACTACCCCCTTTGTGGGTTTGATGGTGGGCAGTTTTTAAGCAAGAGACATGTAAGAAAGCTTGAGTTTGGGCAAGGTCTGCAGTTTGGTTTTTTGGGAGAAAGCATGAAGCTTCACCAGCATCACCTGGGATTGAAGTTGGTTAGGTAGCTAGCCAAGAGGTAACTGCATTTAGGAAGTTGCATTTTTCAGGGGGGACCGTGCATCAAGACTTTATTCCAGGGGCCCCTGGAATAAAGTCTTGGGCTTAAAATTTGGGGGCTTGAAGTACTACCCCCTTTGTGGGTTTGATGGTGGGCAGTTTTTAAGCAGGAGACATGTAAGAAAACGTGAGTTTGGGCAAGGTCTGCAGTTTGGGTTTTTGGGAGAAAGCATGAAGCTTCACCAGCATCACCTGGGATTGAAGTTGGCTAGGTAGTTGGCCAAGAGGTAACTGCATTTAGGAAGTTGCATTTTTCAGGGGGGACAATGCATCAAGACTTTATTATAGGGGCCCCTGGAATAAAGTCTTGGGCTTAAAATTTGGGGGCTTGAAGTAGTACCCCTTTTGGTGGTTGAGGAAAGAAGCAGGTGCCAAGAGCAAGGTGCCAAAGATCCAAGGACCAGGGGTGGCTATCTCTCCTCTCCTTCCTGTCCTTTCTCTCTTTGTCTCTTCTTTTTTGTGACTTTTTTTGGATTGTTTTTTTTTTTCATGGGTGGGGGGGGGGGGCAGGGGCTTGTCTTTAATCCAGGTGCATTTACTAATTATTTTGGGCCCCGAGAAGTCTTTATTACGCGTGCATTTGTTAATCCCATTTTACTTGTGATCCATTCAAAGCCTTTCTACCGGGAAAGATACCCAGAAAACACATCAAAAAGATAAGTCAATGAACCCCACTCCTCTCAGCAAGGATACCTAGGAACGCGCAAAGCATGGATTCCTCGTACGCCGAACACGCATGAGGCTCGAGTTGGGATCATATTCCCCACAACCCTTGCCTTACGGGAGCTTGAAAGTTTCTCGCTGCCATGAGCGCCTGCCACGTGGAACTGCGTAGCACCGCCCTCTGGCTTGGCCGTGCCCAGCAACGCGCCCAAGCCCGACCCGCCCAGCCAGCCTCGGCTTCCGCTGAAGCAACTTTCAAAGGCATCGACAAATATGGGGGGGTCCAACCGACTTGGAGTCGAAACCTTCAACATGTGTCATACAACACCGTATAACCATATAACACCTCCCACATACCTGACAACATGTGTCAAAAAACCTTCAGTCGGGTGCAATTAATACGGATCCACATGAGCAAATCTCAACGAAATCAACAGCGTGTGTGTGTGTGTGTGTCTCAGTGTGTGTGTGTGTGTGTAAGTGTGTGTGTGTGTAAGTGCGTGTGCGTGTGAGTGTGCGTGTGCGTGTGCGTGTGCGTGCGTGCGTGCGTGCGTGCGTGCGTGCGTGCGTGGGTGGGTGGGTGGGTGGGTGTGCGTGTGCGTGTGCGTGTGCGTGCGTGCGTGCGTGCGTGCGTGCGTGCGTGGGTGGGTGGGTGGGTGGGTGTGTGTGTGTGTGTGTGCGTGTGTGTGTGCGTGTGTGCGTGTGTGCGTGTGTGCGTGTGTGCGTGTGTGCGTGTGTGTGTGTGTGGTGTGTGTGTGAAAGTGTGTGTGTGTGTAACTGTGTGTGTGTGCGTGTGTGCGTGTGTGTGTGTGTAAGTGTGTAAGTCTGTGCGTGTAAGTGCGTGTGTGTGTGTTGTGTAAGTGTCTGTGTGTGTAAGTGTGTGCGTGTGTAAATGTGTGTGTGTAAGTGTGTGTGTGTGTGTGCGCGCGTGCGTGTGTCTTTGTGTAAGTGTGTAAGTGTGTAAGTGTGTAAGTGTGTAAGTGTGTAAGTGTGTAAGCATGTGTGAGTGTGTGCGTGTGCGTGTATGTCTGTGTAAGTGTGTGTGTGTAGATGTGTGTGTGTGTAAGTGTAAGTGTAGGTGTGAGTGTGAGTGTAAGTGTCTGTGTGTGTATAAGTGTGTATGTGTGTGTCTGTACAAGTGTGTATGTCTTTGCGTGTATGTTTGTGTAATCTTGTAAGTTTGTGCGTGTAAGTGTGTGTGTGTGTAAGTGTGTGTCTGTGGTAAGTGTGTGTGTGTGCGCGTAAGTGTGTGTGTGTGTGTGTGTGCAGGTGTGTGTGTGTGTGCGTGTGCGTGTGTGGAAAACTTTGTGTGTTTGTGTAAGTGCGTGTGTGTGTGTAAGTGCATGTGTGTGTGTGGGTGGGCGTGTGTGTGTGTGTGTTTGTGAAAGTGTGCGTGTGTGTGTAACTGTGTGTGTGTGCGTGTGCGTGTGTGTGTGTGTGTGTAAGTGTGTAAGTCTGTGTGTGTAAGTGTGTGTGTGTGTATGTAAGTGTGTGTGTGTGTCTTTGTGTGTGTGTGTGTGTTTGTGTGTGTGTGTGTGTCTTTGTGTGTTTGTGTGTAAGTGTGTGTGTGTGTGCAAGTGTGTCCAAGTGTGTGTCCAAGTGTGTGTGTGTGTGTTTGCATGTGTGTGTGTGTGTGTGTAATTGTGTGTGTGGATAAGTGCGTGTGTGTGTGTGCGTACGTGCGTGTGTGTGTGTGGGCAAGTGCGTGCGTGTGTGTGTGTGTGTGTGTGTGTGTAAGTGTGTGTAAGTGTAAGTATGTGTGTGCGTGTGTAAGTGTAAGTATGTGTGTCTAAGTGTGTGTGTGTGTGTAAATGTGTGTGTGTGTGGGAGTGTGTGTGTGTGTGGGTGCGTGCGTACATGCATGCGTGCGTGCGTGCGTGTGTCTGTGTGTCAAGTTGAAGATCATGATGACATGTTGACATGGATCATGGAACATAGCTGCCATGAGACTACATTTTGGGTCACGGAACAGCCATATTTGATCATGTTTGATCCTTCCCCAGGGTTGCAGCCAGAAACATGGGTGGCCCCAAAGAGGGAAACGTGACGGAAATCATGAGAAGAAAAGGATGCCAATGCCACCTGGGTAGTATTCCAAACATCATTTACACCTTGCATACACAGCAGATGCGATGCAATTGAATTCATTGCTGAACGGAACCCAGGAAAAAGCAGGCCGTCGTTCCGTTGAAAGAATGCGCCAGCAGATGGCCGAGCAGCCCCAGAAAGATGACACGTCCCCCACGTGCTCGTGCAGGAAAGGGCCATTCAGGCTCCCTCCATACTCCTCAGCAATCACTTGAGCGGCTTCTTGGTCTAGTTGACCCCACAAGTGGAAACCATCCCACATGTCTACTTGGGGGGAATTATTAATTTGGTTGTTGCAATTCGGATTCAGGGGGGCTCAGCGCCCGGCAGATACATAGTGTGACACTGCGGTTTCAGCTTGCTGCCGTGCAGGGATGATGAGATTCTCCTGCGCTTTCATGGATACCCAATCAAGCCGAGTGAGTTATCAAAAACCTGTTGAAGAATCAAGGGCTTCTTCGCTAAATGGCCAGGGGGCTGTCCACACTAACGATTATTTACCCGGGTTTGATTGTGGCTCTATTTGAAAGCCCTTTGCTTCATATTGTGGGAATCTCAGGATAAATGGCCGGAACAATCAGGCGAGCTTTCATCTTTTCGCTTGCGACTGATCGAGACCAATTGCCCTGCCTGCACCACAAAATACAGGACCACCCTGAGCAGACGGTAGCTTTACTCGGCCCGCGGACACTGTTGGCTCCCTTGATCCGAACTGAGCAGCGCCCTAGACCTAGATGTTTGCTTCTGCCGACCACATTTATAGCTGAGTGGGTGTTTTGGTGGGGGGTACCCTGTTTTGGGTCATGCCAAAGGGACACCAAAGGGACACCAAAGGGAAACCACCTGATTTGGGGTTCCCTTGTTTTGAGACGAACGAGCCCTTGCTAGGTTGCAGGGCAAAACCTCACTCGCGGTTTTCGGTCGCTTTGAAAGCCATGGCGCCTGACTGCTGGCCCAAACCAGAAGTGAGCTATTGGAATAAACACTTGCCAAGGAATGGTGCAACCAGAAGGAGTACCATACATACCAACTAAGGGGGGTGCAAATGTCAGGAAGAAGATCAGGGCCCTTACCAACGGAAGTGCAGTTGTTCGTACCCTTCGCCCCAAACGGGGCAGACCAAACATGATAAGCAAAAGCTAGGGAACCAAGGGGCGACCAAGGGACATGTACAAGGGGTCATGAATTTCCACTCTCGGATTTTAGGGATTCCATTGGCCTCGCCAATCCCGAAGCCAAAAAGGCCCCCCCCCGAGGACTGCGCAAGAGTAGAAAGGTGAAGAAGAGCGTGCCCAGCGCGTCGTCTCTCTCGATGCGCCAGTTCAGGAGCCTGCCAGGGAAACAGCACAGTTCTCGTCAAGGAGGCAACACCAGCTTCCCTCGTTTGTCGCCTGCTGTTCTCTCGAAAGTTCGGTGCTTTCATTCAAAATTATTCCCCTTGAATAGGGTTTTCAACCTACAAAGCAGGAAACTTTATGAGGGCTTTACAAGTTATACATTCGGGGGTACGTACCCCAGAAACAAATGAAAAAGGACAGGGGGCAAAATAGGAAAATGGGACTATTACAGAACGGATAAATGCAGGCAAGACCAGCTAGGAAAATGCAAAACATGAAAAAAGGCACAAGGCAAACAAATGGCGAAAGAGAAGACAGGGAAAGCCTTGGAAAGGAAGCGCCAAAAACAGCAAGCGCAAGGTGATGATGACGGTAGGTTCTTGATATCGCCTTGGAGTACTTGAATAGGGACCTGAACTAAATAGGCATCAAGGGTTTCTCTCCCCCCATAACGAGATTCCTCTAGGCTTTTTGGGTGCCCGCCCCCCTTGTGTTCCAAAAGCCCCAAGGCCCCATTCGCGCCATTCGCGCCTGGCCAGCTGCGCCCGGCTCTTCATGGGCGTGGTGGCCATCGAAGCGCGCCCCATGAGGAACGTGGCCACCTGGACCGTTTCTGCGCGACGGATCCGTCGGATGCCTCAGGTCCCAGGTTTGTCCAAAGTATGGGGAACCGCCGAAATGGGAACACTTTGATTGCCCCGAAATGATTGCAAGTATTTCATCCAAAGATCAACGATGGTGCATTGCCTGAATTTCGGGGAAATCACGCTACGAGAGTTGTGCCGCCCTGGCTTTGGCCAGATCCGCGAGGATCCTGGACAGGTTCTGGAAAGGTTTCGGGGAGCTGTTGGGGATACTCCTGGGGCTGTTTTGAGTGGGCGGGCCTCCCGGATTTTGCTCTAACGAGAAAAGCCGATCAGCCGATCAGCAAAGGGCAATTTAGTGAGGCCCCCTTTTCTCTGCAAGTAAACAGGAGACTACCAACTGCTACCAATGGTTTTGACCGAACCTCATGTTGGAGGCCTCTCTTAAACGCCGACACCCTGAACTCTGCGTTGCGCTCACTCGCAGAATGGACAAAAGACCAAAAGGTCAACATGTCTTCATTGGTCAAGCGTAAGTGAGGCAGCCTGTTGGTGCTACGAGGTACAGTACAATTACAAAGAGCACCCTATTTTGGACACATCCCCAAACAGGGTGGCTGGTTCCAGAAACGGGAATCAAGGGAAATCCAACCAACCATCTTTTTACCCGCACGGTGCGGCCAAGTTTAAGCCTTAAAGCAGCCTGCCAAAAAGTCCATCATGTCGGACCGGTTAGGCCACATGTTTCACCACATGTCCTTCCACAGGCCATGGAGCCCTTGTCGAGGGCTTCTAATACCAAACAACCCCAGGAAGCATAATTGTATGTCACTTTGTAAGATTTCTAAACGTTAATTTTCTCCTGGTGGTGTTTAGGGGACCAGAATGAATCAACAACCGCTGGATCAAGGATCCTATTTAAGAGGGAACCCTTCGCTGTTGGCGGGGGCAACACTCCCCCGAGTCCGCGAGGTTTACCAATCTGTCGAGATTCCTGGAAGCCCTCAAAGAAACTCAGGAAAAGCGAGGCCAAAGGTCCTAGCCTGTGACTCAGGGCGCGTCAGCTCCTCCGTGAAAACCGCACAGGGACAAATGCCATCCTGCGGGTAGCGTTCAAAAGGAAAGCCTCATTTAAGCAGCGTTGACCCAAAACCCATTAATTTTTAGTTCTACTAACTTGAGAAAACACAACAAAGATAACTTCCTCTAGTTTGCCTCGAAAGCAACACAATATGTTAATGCAGGTTTGCATAGGGGCCCACTGTAACCTTTATCAATTTGGTCAACAGGCTGTCCAAAAATCAAAAAGGGACTTTTTTGGCAGTCTTTGGGATGGTGTCAAAGGAAAGCCAAAATGAATTACATGGATACCGACTGTCAAAGCAACTATTCTCGGAAACACCCACCTGAAGGCACTAGCCAGTGTCCCCTGCTCCCCAAAAAAGGAGAAGGATTACCAAATGAACCGTGAGCGAGCAGGTAGCACTCCGGTTGAGGTGTTTTTTTTTCACTAGCCCCGGCTTTTTACTAGCCCCGGCTCGGCACAAGCTGGGGGTTGGTGGCCGCGTCGCCAGCATGCCCAGCATGCCCAGCATTTCCGGTTTCTTGTCACGGCTGCGTATGGGGCATGACTTGATGCTCGGGATAGTGCATCGCCAGAAATCTCACTCGGACGCGAGCTGCCTATTGGCTTTGGTTTGGTGGCAGTTCAGGGTTGATCGGGGCTGGGTTGGGGTGAGTGTTGGGCTTGCTGAGATATTAATGCGAGCGGGTCTTGGGTTTGTTTAGGGTTCATTTAGCCTCGGCAAAGGGCCGATATGCAGGATGCGGTTGGGAGGGTTTCAGGTTGACTTTGGGTCGGTTTTGGCTTGGTTGGGGCTGATTCGTGCTAGATGTGCGGCTGGTTTAGCCGTGGCTTTCGGGTTGCTTCAGGGATGTGGTTCTGCAAGGTTGCAATTGCAACCCTTAAGGGCGTGCAATTGCAACCCTTAAGGGCGTGCAATTGCAACCCTTAAGGGCGTGCAATTGCAACCCTTAAGGGCGTGCAATTGCAAACCTTTAAGGGTGTGCAATTGCAACCCTTGAGGGCGTGCAATTGCAACCCTTAAGGGCATGCAATTGCAAACCCTTAAGGGCGTGCAATTGCAACCCTTAAGGGCGTGCAATTGCAACCCTTAAGGGCGTGCAATTGCAGAACCACATCCCTGAAGCAACCCGAAAGCCACGGCTAAACCAGCCGCACATCTAGCACGAATCAGCCCCAACCAAGCCAAAACCGACCCAAAGTCAACCTGAAACCCTCCCAACCGCATCCTGCATATCGGCCCTTTGCCGAGGCTAAATGAACCCTAAACAAACCCAAGACCCGCTCGCATTCATATCTCAGCAAGCCCAACACTCACCCCAAACCAGCCCCGATCAACCCTGAACTGCCACCAAACCAAAGCCAATAGGCAGCTCGCGTCCGAGTGAGATTTCTGGCGATGCACTATCCCGAGCATCAAGTCATGCCCCATACGCAGCCGTGACAAGAAACCGGAAATGCTGGGCATGCTGGGGATGCGGCCGCCCAGCTGACCAACCAACCAACCAACCAACCAACCAACCAACCAACCAACCAACCAACCAGTCTCCGAGCCGGGGTTAAGCCCCGAGCCGGGGCTAGTAAAAAAAAAAACACCGGTTCCGTAGCACTCCTGCAGATCAAAATCACCCCCCGCCCCCAATTTCAGAGGAACTCGCTTTTGGGTTGTATGTGATCTGCAGGGAAGTATGGTTGTGCCTTTTTTGAGCTCATGTGCCTGGTCAAGCTCGAGCAATGCAAGCCCGGCCTTGTCGAGCGGGAGCGACTTGAAAAGTGCCTGGAGACAAAGCTGCGACCCGTTCAGGTTCATTCCAAACACCCAAACGAGTTCATGAGAACCAGCACGAGGCACGAGGGTCCCTCTGTTCGTCCGTGGCTTTTGGGCTTTGGCTGTTCAGTACATCCGCCTCAGCCTCAGGGAAGTCCAACATCTCCTCCAGTGCAACCTCTGGGTGGTCCTCCTCTTGTACCATGCGCATGGCTGGCCTCGGTCTACAAGGAGGGCTTAAGGAACTCCAGTGTTGGCCCCGGTTGACTTTTGGAGCCAAACATCCTGGGTTTTCTGTAGGTGGGCAAGATTTGCCTTGAGGCACCTTTTTTAGGGGAATCCAGTCGGACCCCTCCAAAAGGAATCAACTTGGCCCCCTCCAAAAGGCTTACAGTGTTGACGACACTTCAATCACACAACCTTGTTGTGAAATAATTTCAAGCAAACAGGAAGCCTGAAAACCTACATGGAACCGAGCGAACATCAAAGAACCGATTCCGCAAATAGGTGGGAGTCCCTCCGCTATGGCAAAGGTGACAGTTTTCAACATGGAATTTCCCGAGAGTATCGCAGAAGCAACGACTGATCTCCAAAACCACAAAGTTTGCCGTAAGGATTTGACTGAAGGCCATTGAACTTAAGTTGGATCAGCATTGAGAAACCAATAGGTCTGATCCGAGAATGCGTAGGCTTGGGCTGGGGTTGCCATGAAGCCCTGACTTCGCTTTCCGAGGTGCAGCGGCAATCCCAGAAGCGGCCCACTCAGGAGAGCGAAGCCCTGGTGCGACTTTGCTCTCGCAACTCGCGCACAGCTAGAAGAAAATGACGCATACTGTTTTGGCCATAGTTGGTCATATTTTTGGGTGTTCAGGGCTTGGGCAGGGGAACAAAAAAGCGACCCGGCGGTGCCTTTTGAAACCGAAACGTCTGGCGCATCATATCTCGCAGCCTCGAAGTCCAGGCCATCACTGCTCTGGGGAGCCTGGAGCCAGTCAGTACACCAGCTGTCGAGAAAACAACGGATGCTGGGTGCTGATCACTTTTGGTTCCACCAACATCTGTGTAGAGGGGTTCCACCAACATCGCCCTTCTTCTCCTTGTTAAACTAGCTAGAACGACCTGCTGAAACGACCCATGATGGGCTCAAGTGCTCCCATCTCAATAGCCCTTGCAGTCCAATCTCAGGGCCCATGAAAATCATGGATTCTCCGCAACAAACACCAACCCACGCATCCGAACCTAAGCATTGCTCTTGTACTTGGCATGTCTTGGCCCGTCGGTCCTTCTGCAGCAGCAAAGCGGATTTCTTGCCCTGGCTGAGATCAAGAGAGGTGCGAGACGATGCTATGTTCTCGCACCGAACCCAAAACACGGGCTGGGTGTTTCCATTTCGCAACTGGGTGTTTTGTTAGCTGTTGTTTCTGTACTGGTTTTGTGTTTTGCCGCTGCGCTGTTTTTGACGCAATAATAGTGGAACACGTGCCTTCCATTGTCACTAGTACCGTCAGCTACAAAGTGAAGTGGGCAGCAAAACCCAAATTTTGCACCTGCTACTCGTCGAAAACCAGGTTTTCGGTTGAAGAACTGGTCTTGCTTCCTGAAACCCGTAAAAAAAAAACGTGCAAAACCCCTATAAAAGCAGTACAAAACCCGTATTTCCCATGTGCTTTCTGAAACCCAGGTTTCTCCTCTGAAAACCAGGTTATGTTTTGGAACGCGCTTTTTTTTGGTAGGATTTTGGGTAGAAGGCAAGTTAAGCAATCTTGGGGGGGGGGGAACAGATTCTATTGTTAGGGGGCTTGTCCTTACGAACGGCTCCCTCCTTGCAAAGCCCAAACACGTGGAATGGCGCAGTAATCTGCAAGAGGTGTTTAATTGCACAATCTAGTTTCAAAGCGATTGACTTCAAACACTCTTGGGGTCCAGGGAATGTATGGGAAGGTTGCTGCTTCAGTCATAGTTGAGGAGGCGTAAGGCCCTAGTTGGTAGGTATTTTGGGGCTTCGAACTTGAGGAAAGCACGTTTAATTAGCTTAATTATGGGGTGACGTTTGTCATCGCGAAGTGACTTGGGTGTCGGTGGAATTCTGTGAGCTAGAGGCCTGCCCACCGCAAGCAGCACTTCCTGCTCCAAAAGTGCTGCAGCGTCACGAGGAACCGCGACTCGCGCAGAAGCAAACAAACGTGTGTAGAGCAAAGCAAGGGCCTACCATAATCTCTGGACATGTGCCCCTGTGCAAGCTTGGCTGCCACTAGCATTGTGTGAGTTTCCTTGGCGTCCTTTCCCCTTGCTGGTCAGCACGGCGCCAAACGCAGTTTCTGAAAATGATGTCCTTCAGAAATGGAACTGAGGCCTGTTCAGTAGCTGACGATCGGACATAGTAACCAAGAGCTATAGTGACCATGGGAAGGCACGTGCGTGTTACGCTACCACTACGATTGCAGGACTGCACAGCGGCAAGACACAAACCAGTACAGAAGCACCAGCTAACAAAACACCCAGTTGCGAAACGGAAAACACCCAGTCCACTCTGGACATGCTTCTTGGTATGTGGCAAAACAGTCCAACCCCTTTAAGCAAAATGACAGGTTTCATGTTGGTCTCCTTCAAACTGTCTCGAAGAGATTCAACTCGCCTTCACTTGCAACCAAAATGGACTAAAACACGCGCCTTTCTGCTTTCCAACCGCTTCTGCACATTGGCGCCGAGCATCTTGCAAAGCTCCTCCACATCCGCCTGCGTGGCCGGCTGCCGGCGGGAGGACGCGCTGCAAGTCGCAAGTAGGAGGTTCAAGGGTTCAAACTATACACGCCAAAGCCACACCCCTTACAGGAAGCTCTGGGCAACCTCCAAAGAACCCCTACATGCAAGGCCTAGCTGGCCGAAAGCTGCGCCCAGGTCTTGGAGGCTGAACCACTCCTTTCTTTGTGCCATGCCAAAAAAGCATTGTTTGCACTGGACCTATCGATTCCTAGGAGGGAAACCATGATCAGCACCCCTTGTCTGCTGCCTTGGTGATGTCACCCACGGCGCTCACGCGCACCTCGCGCATGCAACGAGCACGTGGGGTCAGGTTTGCTAAATCCCCTTTGGCCCCTTATGATCCTTCATGGTCCTGAATGGCCCCCAGTTCAAAATGAGCGTATGAACCTACCGTGAACAACCCCCAACAAAAAGCAGAAGGGATGGCAAGCACCACCCGAAACTGTTCGCTTGGCCCACTTCGGCTGGTCCACCCCTTCAACGAGCCCTGCCTTTGCGGCGAGCATGGAGCCTGGGCTGAACGAATCAACGTGAAATGGGGAAGCGACCAAGCAAAAGGAACAAGGGCACCGCTGAGCAACTGGGTCTTCAACCACTTACCTCTTCTCCCTAACAGTGGTCCCTCTAAGAGAAACATATTGAAACAACGCGTCCTTGAATACTAGACGCCAATTTGAAGCCAACGCTAAACTCCGGACCTCTCCCACCGAGCTCTCTTCCAGTCTGAATGACAAGGCTTGAGTTCTTTGAATGCTTTACTTACAACGTCACCCTGTAACACTTTTTGATTGGAGAGTCTTCCCTCAAGAGCTGAACCAAACAGTGAATTGGACACACCAAACCTGGAACTTGGGACCCCACTATGCTTCCAGGGTTTCTTTTGCTTAGGGAGTATTGGGGGAGTTGGATTAATTATTGTTCCCCGCCCACCAGGTTACCAGGTTTGGGTTAGATCTTAAGACGACATCCGTGGCCGAAGCCTCCAGGCTGGGCCTGGGGCTCCTGCCAGCCGGGCCGGGACCGCCAGTCGGATTGACCTTTTTTGGTTCCCCCTGTTGCATTTGGCCAAGCAAAAATATTGGCTGGATTGTTCGAGGTAAAGAAATGTAAACAACCTCCCTTTTGGCTTTTCTGAGAGGAGCCAGGCCTGGTTGCTCAGGCTCGCACAACCCATCCAACTTGGGCCATAGACAATTGGACAATTGGACAATATTGGACATCTTTTGAGCCTCACTTGGACCCTGGCCCTCTGCCGCTTTCAGGCGATTAATGAGCTGCGGGTGCAAGTCTTCCGTGGCGAAGTCCGGCACCTCGAAGGGCCTTGGCGAGGCATCCCAGCCCCATGACTTGTTTGCCTACAGGAAATTCTTGGCAAACATGGGATTCCCGAACCTCAATTCCCAATTTCCCGCTATGTTGCAGAAACGGATCTCGTAGTTGACGGCCACAACACCGAAATAGGGCCCAAAAGGGGCTCACGATTCTGTCTACCCAGGAGACTGTGGCTTGCCTGTGCAAGAAATCAACCGTGGCTGGTTGGCGTTTTTGTGGCTCTGGAAACATGGGTTCAGGGATGTTCAGAGGGCTGCACATTATGAGGAAGACTTCGCAACTCGCCCACATTCCTCGTGAGGTTTTCCATCAGCCGAAACTTTGTATCCTGCCCCATAGCCATTGAGAGCCGCGCTCGTCTTCGAAGGCCATCGCGGCCTGAGTCTCAGAAACAAACAACCCAGCGACGGGCTCGGTCTTGAGATTATATAAAACAGCACAAAGCATACACCTTGAAGTTTCAGGGAACATTCAAAGGTTATGTTTCCTCCCAGGAAAAGAATGTGGCGACCCCTGGATTCCGGCCGGGGGTGCGGATGGGAAGTCCAAGGACCAAAAGCCTTCAAATGGAGCCCGCCTCGGACGGCATGATCTCTGAGAAGTTGGTACATGTCAGGAACCTGACCATCGAAACTTGACATTCCCACCCCCGATCGGTGTGGAAAACGGCTCGACACGGCAAGCTGCACGCCTTGCCTGACGCTGCGCTCAGAGGCGCCTGCTTTGCCCCTGTGACTTGATCGGTGAACCTGAGATACGTCAAGCGATTTCAGGTGGAAAACTTCGGATTAATCCAGAAGACCATAATTAGCAGTCAGGTGTGGTTCCCCTTTTTAGTTGAAATGAGTTCATTGGATTGTGGGATTACTACTTGATCAATACGGTCCTCCGGGTGAATCCGAAGTGAACACGAGTAACAAGCTGGTGCGCTTTCCAAAGGGCGGATTCCATTTGATCACACTATCATAGACTATGGTTGAAAGGGTGGCACCTTGGGAAATGGGCCCCTTAGGGAAAGCTGTCACCCTTGTGATCAACTTGTGACTTGGGACCAACCAATGTTTGTGCAGTTTCTGAAGCAAAAAATAGATGTTGACAAATAGAAGATGCAACCTTTCTTCGGCCACTCCCTTAGGAACCCCCCCCCCCCCCGCAGGGCCCGCACCTTTCCAGCTGCGGCCCGCGACATCGCTTCAAGCCATGGCAGAAGCTTCCCTGGGAGGGACACCTGTCGTTCCCAGATTCTCTGGATGCTCGGGATCAAGCCAGGAAGGTGCCTGTGCTGTCTGGGTGGGGTGCAGCTTGGAAAAACAGCATGTGCCTGGCTTGTTGTGGCATCTTTTCCGGCCGGTCTGTTGCAAATGCCCCTCTGACTGCTCTCTCTATCTTCGTTCAACAGGAACGGCTTCGAAGAGGGCGAAGCTGGTCGAAGCATGACCTGCTGATGCCTTTCCTGCAACGGAATCCACACGTGCTCTGAAGAATCTAAGCAACTCACCAATACAATTACATCGCCACCGAAGAGACATGAAGGGGGTTCCTGGAGCGGGGGCAACCTCAAAATTCAATAACGTATTATTGTTTAGAAGCAACAAGCGAAGATGTGGAATAGTAAGATTCGGGTACAGCACTAGTCCCCTCCGCACTCAGCCAGCCACCCGCCGCGGTCCTCAGCGATTCGCTCGCGCTAGCAGGTCCACTCAGTCCACTCGACCAAGCTCCGAGGTGCGGACCATGGCTCACATCGGGCCAATCCGAAACACCGCGTGCTGGGAGCAGTGTGCACCTGGCTCGAAGTGTCACTCGTCTCTTGCGATTCGCTTCGGTTCGCCACAACGACCATGTCAGAGTGTGCCCCATGAAGAGACCTGCGCAACTTCCGAATTTCCGACAACAGAACACAACTCTGGGAAGACGCTCGCACTGCCCTTCAAAGAGCATTTTGTCGCGATCAGTCGAGTTTGAACAGGCCTGGGGCATGAGCTGCACTCAGAACGACTGCCTGAACACATGACTGGCCCTGGTCTCGTTGGGTCGCCTTCATTGGATCTTACGTAGGTCGACTCAACTAGAGGCCGGGGCTTGTCCTGAAGTCAAATTCGGCGCAGGGCGAATTAGAACAAAAACCAGGATTCGCTTCTTCCACATCAAAGCATGTATGTATCTCTGAACAGGTGTGCTCTGTGCGCGTTCTTCGTGTTGATGTCCAAATGGAGCTGGATCCCGCCTTTGCTGAGCACCTGTGTGCTCGAGCTGCTGACAGCTCTGCCTGAGACACACCTATGGCGTGGCCAGGCGGTTTGGGACTCGGAGGGCTCGGCGCCCCAGGCTCGCACTCGTGGCATCCAAAGGGGCGCCCCCCCGATTTGCCCGTGGGGTAAACCCGCAACCAACTTGGGTTGCTGAACATCGAGCAGAAAATGTAGGCCGCCCGCGCCGTACGGCGACAGGCTCAGGCCCCGCCCGATGCCATGTCAAGGTAAGACATGGTTATAATTACAGCAGCCGAATGCAAAACATGTGCAGGGCCTCTGTGCAAAGCCCTGCTTTAATGGCATAATTGATGGTGTCAGCATGTGTTTGCATTTGCAGTCAGCTGCTCTTGCGTGCCGCTGAAGGCGCAATTCCTCGGGCACTTGAAAAGGAGCATCTTCCATCCTTGGGCTACGTGAGGTTAGTCAATCCTAGTTGGCCCGAACGAAAAAAGTACTGTCATCTGCTAGAGGAGACAAGGATCAACAAGTTTTACCTCTTCAATCACGGTGCCCGGCTTGTGAAGGATCGGACGTCTACTTTGTGAAGCGCTCTCAGCTCAACTTTGGGCCTTTTCTGCCTGCGCGGAGCTGCAGAGCTCTGTGCGGCACAACGGCTATGCAACCTGCCTCTGGCATGCTGGGCTCGAATGCTTTGACCTCGGGAGCAGACTGTTCCGGAAGTCAAGTGCTGGCCGTGTAGTTCCTCTCAGGGGATCCCGATCCCTGGGTTCATTCCCCAGAAAGATGAAAAGCACACTCTATGTCAACTTTGGAGTACGTAGTCTAAGAAAGCAAGCATTTGAGATCAAATGAGGTAAATTGCCCTGAAATGGATCACGTTTCACTGAAAGCGGAACGGCGCTTCTGTCTGTGAGGGAATTATTCATGCAAAGACATCAAGTCCGCAAACATGAACCTGAGCTGCCGGGCAGTGTTTTAGACGCTTATGAAAATCCTGTCTCTTATCCTTCCTGCTGAAAATCCAGTCTCGCTTCTCGCCTTTCCCACGTTTCTGGCCTCGGTTCACCACATTTTCACCGAGCGAGTACATCCCAGCTGCGGCTGGACGATAGACATCAAACTGTGCGCGCAAATGTGCTGATTTATGTCCCCAAATCGACAAACCTTTCACATCCCAATCAATAAGGGCGTGGTCGCCTCGCAAAAGGGGACACCCCTGTGGAATTTGGACGCGAGGCCCGGGCACCTGCCATCTTCCTCCTCCGCGCACAAGCAGGGCGCGAGGCTCTTTCCTGTCCGGGTTGTCCTGTTTGGAAATTGAATCAACGGCTCGGTTTACCTAAATTCGTTGTCTAGCCATTTTCATGGAGGGCGATTCACCAAGGTTTTGCCTTCCAGCCCTCCGTCTCCGTGAGTGCCCTTTACAAAAGGGTGTGCTGCCCTTTACCCCAGCCGCGTGTAGCAAAGGGCTTTTCGGACTCCTTCGGCAAAGGGCACCCTGCCTCACCACTTGAAGCTTTTCAGGGTTTGGCCTTCACACGGTAGGAAAGCAAGTTGGACCCCTCCAAGACAAGAGGGTTGCTGCACTAGATGGGTCCAACTTGACTTTCAACCAAACAGCCGAAAACGATTGTGGAAGTGCACCAACCCATTGTGCAAGACTTTCTTCCGGGCAAAGCGCCATGTGCAGTCCCTTGTCCATTTTGCACGAGGGTAGAACATTTCGGAGAAGGATAATTGGTGTGGAAAACCTGGAACAACTGGTGAAACAGTTCTAACTCGCAAAGCCGTTGTTGCCCTGACTGAGGTGCAGCATGTCAGCATTTTGGGGGGGAACCAAAGGCAGAGCTCTGCGGTGCGCCTCAGTTGGGGCTGGTGGGGCTGGTGGGGCTGCCGCTTCCCAGTAGCAGCTGGCCCGCGGAGGGCAGCGGTGGCCCGCGGCGGATAGGATCCAGGCGCCGGGGAGATCGAGGGGTCATAGGGGCGCTCTGGCCTCGAATCCAAGCCAAACGCGAAAGCAGGGAAAGTCAAATGAGAAAGGGAAATAAAATGAAATAAGCAAATAAACATAAACGGAAAACCGAAAATCCGGAACGTTCGTCCGTCAATCCGAAAGCCCGGTGGCCGTTGCTCGAGGGACTGGAGGCCCGAGACGTCTCGTTGTGGGGCACCAGCAGGCTGCCGTCCCCAGGCCCCGCTAGGCGGGCAGAGCTCGGGCGCCGGTCGCGGCCCTCCGGCTTCAGGTGCTCCAACCTTCGTTGCTTCTTGGCTTTCATGTTGTTCATGTCTTTCTGAGTGCTCTAGCATCACTTGCTTCACTTGCTTGATTCACACTATCTTTCCATCTACATATGATAGCGTCCCTTTGTGCTTCTTGTTCAGGGAGACTGAAACACAAATAAACGGATGTCACAAGCTCATAGCTGTGTGCAGCTTGGGCAATGCAAGGGCCCAGAATCCGTGAATCGGTTGGGGCAGATCATCATGCATTGTCAGGTTTGGTCTCTAAGTTCGTGGCCAGCAGGCGGCAAGTACAGTATCCCTATTTGTAGCTTGTTGAAATGACTTCCCTTGTCTGCTCCTCAGAAAGACAAGCGGCGTGTACATGTCAAACTCTCTGCCGCCAGGCCACTGGTCCAACAAGTCCCCGTGCAACGCGTCCTCCGGCTGGCCGGGCACTGGGGCATCCGGCCCTGCGCCGGAGTCGGTGTGGCTGCCCTCACCTGGGACAAACTGACCTCTGAAGCCGGGCGTTTTCGTGGGCTAGTGCGAGGAGGGCGTATGCTGGGGAGTGAACTTGCTCCAAAAGCCGATTTCCCTTCAATTGCTCAGGTTCCGTCGGTCGAACCGAAAACCAAGCCGCGGCGACGCCGGGAGATGGACAAATTCAGGGGCTCGCTGGACTGACCCTCGCTGCCCAGCGAGGAACGCCGGCTGCCCTGCTGGCGCAAAATCTTCCTGGACTCCTTGGGTTCCTTAGCTCAAGCCCAGCCCATGCTTTGGGGATTGAGTCCTTCAACTGCAAACTGCGAAGTTTTCCCATGGACAAACATGGGAAACCTTGTTGCATGGCTCGGAAGCGAAACCAATAGAACACCTGCCCAAAGAGGGTGGCACGAAACCAACCTAAACTTCCCAATGTCTCCGCAACCAGATCAGAAACTAATTTCGTTCGTGAAAGTACCCTCCCACCCTCAAGACATAGCGGGCTTCTGGTATGTCTTTCGTTGTCAGGCTACATTTCTCCCCCCCTTCCCGTGTCCTGTATCTGTGGGTTTTCTGAAACGGGAGATGGCCCGGAACCGTTCACCCGCTTGCAGCTGGGCTTCTTTGGGCGAAGGGCCCTCCTCCGAGGGGGCGCAGGAGGACTTGGAAGCACCGCGGCTGGGCGAATCAAAGGTGGAGCTCTGAAATGCCGAGGTGCCCATCTCCACCTCACCGGGGGGCCAACAAGTTGGTATTTGTATTTCCCCAACAGCCGAAAGCTTTGGGGTCTCAGCCCAGATAGGCTCCGGGGTGGTCCGGGGCGGCTCTGAGGTAAGGTTCCACGAGGGTTCCACGAGGGTTCCACCAGGGTTCCACGAGGTCCTGCATGGTGCGAGCACAAAAAAGAGCACCGCATGCTGTTGGGGATATCACCTGAGCTTATTGTTTCATCAACTTTTTGTTAACCTCCATTCGACTTCTTGGTTGGACCACTGACTGCTTCAATCTCAGGAGGCAGAAGCTGGGAACCTCCTCAACATGTCGGAAAACATTTTCGGTTGCTTCTATCTGTTGGCTGGTTCCCACTTATATGCCACAAGGAGGAGCAAAATAACAACATATATTTAAAAACGTCATCAACCAAGGTATAGATATGTTGTCCAACAGTGCATCTATGTTGTCTCTACCTTGCCAATGAACAGAAACAACCCAGAAAGGTTTGAAGAAAGCCAAATACACGCCAAGCATTTCTGGGAATTTTCACATTGCGAAAAATCCATGATGCGTTCTTACCCTTAGAGAGTATATAATATGCATGGGAAGTCAGCGACTGCACTGCTGTTTGTGGCGCATGTGTTGGGTCTTCCTGTTATTGTTAGGTTCAGTTGGTGACCCTTTGGTGGAAATCAATTGCATGGGAATCTATGTCCACCAATCATTCCATATTGTTACCCGAACAGAGCAAGTGAGCCCGTTGAAAAAGGTGGATTCCATTTACAGTGGTCACATGATCATTGCCTTTGCATGGTTGCAAAGGTAGCTTTGGGCAAAGGGTACTTTGGGAAATAGGCAGCACCCTTGTGACCAACCGACTAAATCGCGAAATTTAGCGAGTCCTGTCCCCAAACCCGAAACTAAAGCTGACCACTTGGATGTTCAGCCTGCTGCGTAGCAAGTAGTTCATGAAATGGTTGCAAGTATGGAAACAGGGGCTGCTTCCCGTACAGCCGGAACGGTTCAACCGATTTAAGACGTAGCCTCAAAGCAAAAAAAAGTGGAAAACACTGAACGTGAGGGATCGCCTGGAGCTGTCCGCGCTTGAAGCTGCCCCATGAGGCCGGCAGCTCGGGCGTCTCTACCTGCTTCCTCCGCTTCGAGTAGTGTTCCAGTGAATCCCGGGCAAGCCGCTGCGTGTGCGGTCACAAACTTGCTTGTTTGGGAATTGGTGGGAATCGTCGACCTTTCAACAGGGGTGCCACTGCAACAGCTCCTTTTGATAGGAAATTTGGGCCATGGTCAAGACACATTTCTTGCTTGGGGTCCAGGAGAGACATGAGGAGATCTGTGACCCTCACCAGAAATGTTCGCAGTTGCCTTCCATGAAAAGCCCTGCGATCGGACGGTTCCTGCCATCCCAAGAGGGGCCAATCCAAAGAGCCTGCATTTCCCAAGTTGTTGGGGTTCCATGGCAACTTGGAAAAAGGCTAACAAAAAGCAACAAAAACATGGGGAACCTACAGGAACAAATTATTTTTTTTCACAGTCCTCTGTGCTCCGCTGGCCATGTCTGCCTCGAGCATGGTGGGGGGCGACGCGGGCGCAGGCGGGTTGTAGGACTTGCGCGACGAAGATCTGGACGGGGGCATCGGAGAGTTCTCCTGGAACCCGAAAGGTCCAACCCAAAAATCCACCATCAAACACAACCTATGAGTATGTTTGTTTTTTCCAAGCGCACACCAACTCTCGTTCTTTACACAAAAACATAACAGATGGGGCTGGATCCCAACTTCAAATCATGTCGGGGGGTGCCAACATGTTCAAGGCGGCCCTTGTTTGTGAAAAGCCTCCAAATGTTCACCCCAAAGCCGCGTAATGTACGAATGCAAAAGGTGCACTGTTTGTTAGGGGAAATGGCCGGACATAAATTGAAACAAGGGCTTCTTTGCAGGAAGCGCACCCCAATTCCCTATGACATTACGCATAACGGAGGAGCAAGATGTGGATTCATTCGAGACGGCGCAAGTTTCAATAATTGATTCGATCACAAACGGCTTTCCTAGAACCAGCTTTTCACTACTAGCACTGACTTAACTTCTGAGTTCTCCTGGCGCTGGCGGGGCTTGTCGATGGAGTGCTTCTGCCAGTGCGCCATCACCGCTTGCACCTTGGGGCTACACGCGCGCGCAGCTGTTGCGGTTGAAAACGCGTCCAAAGACTTAAGCCCATGGCATCAACCTTTTTCCGGCATCCTTGTTGGGGGAACCCCAAACATGGAACCCTGATGGCATGGGGACTGAGGGAAATCCAGGGGAAGAAGCAGAGTTCAAGCTGAAGTCAATGGTTGATCTGATCCTTTCAGATACGGAAATGTAAAGACAACTGAATCCCAAGAGAGTGGATCCTAACAGATGCAATCTGAGTCCAGCTTGAAAAACACAGGCCCTGGTCATAAACTTGGGACATTCTTTCGACTCCCTGTTGATTGGTGTTGAAAGGGAACGCAAAACTACCTTGCCATTGTGAGGGCTGCGTGCCCTTTTGGGGGTCTCTCTCAAAAAAAATGAAAGTGGGGTCCTTCCCCTCTAGTTTCCCTTGAGTGGGCCTCTGAAAACCAACAGGGGTCCTCCCTCGAAAAAAAAAGAAAAAGAAGAAGAAGAAAAGACACAAACAAGCAAACAAACAAACAAACAAACAAACAGGCAGACAGACAGACAGACAAACAGACAGACAGACAGCAAAACAGACACACAATCCAACAAACACCAACAAACACAAATCAACGACAAAAACGGACAAACAAACAAACAAACAAACAAACAAACAAACAAACAGACAGACAGACAGACAGACAGACAGACAGACAGACAGACAGACAGACAGACAGACAGCAAAACAAACACACAATCCAACAAAACCAAACAACACACATCAACGACACAAACGAACAAACAAACAAACAAACAAACAAACAAACAAACAAACAAACAAACAAACAAACAAACCAACAAACCAACAAACCAACAAACCAACAAACCAACAAACCAACAAACCAACAAACCAACAAACAATTCAATCAATGAAACAAACAAACAAACAAACAAAACAAACACACCAAACACGCACATACATCCAATGTATTGAGATAACTCGCCGGCACCTGCCTCGGTCTCCAGCTGGTTCAGCTGCTCCGGATCACTGGTCGGCCCCGTGGAGGTGACCTTCATCAGCTCCTGTGAGCTGCCATCCAGCGAAGCATTCGAAGCATCTGAGTCGTTTGTGAGAATTCTCTTTTCGAAGGGAAAAAATGAGAAATCTTTTAAAGCAACTTGTATTTGCGAAAACCTGGTTCACCCCAACCAACACAGGTTGCCCTCAAACGAGATGCGCCCGGTTGGGTGTCTTTTTTCAGGGTGGTTTTCTTGCAGGGAAACCCAAAGGGCACCAACCGCTCTCCGGATCTGTGTACGAACTTCACTTGGGAGCCCTGTGAGTGGACCTCAGTTACATGGGGATCTCTGTCCGCCGATCACCACCGGACTCACCTTTTTTGGGTGGACTTGTTTTGGGAAACAAAGAAGCTGCTCCCCCTTTCGGTTTTTCGGTTCGGGGCACACCCAAGGAAATCCAACACCTGGGCCAATCCCATCTCCTCCAGCAGCTTCTGCACCGCCGGGTTCGCGTGCCAGGCCATGCCCCCGAGCCGGAACACGGTTTGGCACCCCACCGCGTGGGTCACCCGCTCCTCGCTCCGGATCGAGCGGATCGAGAGGAACTTTTGCTGACGAACTTGAGGGACTCACTGGGAAGGTCTCCGTGGCCCCGGAATGAGCTCCCCTGGTGTTGCATGGGGGTGTCTCTGTCCTATGGCCACCGCAACTCGCAGTTTTCCTAACCACCTTTCACCAAAACCCACATTGAATTGACTTTTCTGACAACAATCTTTACAAGCCACATTCTTGGTTTTAAGGTAACTAAGTATACAATAGTACCCTAAACACTCGAATGTGCCTTGTAGAAACTGTTGTATGATATATATATATATATATGGTATGCATATATTATGTATATACTGTATATGTGTCTTTTTTGCTCAGTAGACCATCACCCCTTGGCGGGTAGTTTGGCAGGGCACTGTGCGAATTACTCCGTTTGGCTCCTTGGAGGCCTGGCGGCTCCCCTTGGAGGCCTTCCGTTCCTCCTTCTCCGCCGCTTTGGTCTGCTCCGTGGCGATGCTCTCGAGCCTAGCGCGTGAAACAAAGCGACACCGGGGGGTGCCGTCGTTCCAGGTCCTCCCTCGAGACGTTCACCCACACTTTGGGTGGGCAAAATCCACGTCCGGCGCCTAATTTAGGACACCATAAACCATTGAGCTGTTCCCTCACCTTGGGCACAATGGCTTATCTTACTTGCACGCATTGGCTGAACGAAAGCATGTTTTGCTCAGGGCTCGAACCATGAAGGAAACCAGTTCTGGAGGTGCACACGAGTTGAAGAAGACCATCTGTTGTTGTTTCGAACGGAAGCTTGGCCTAAGGGACAATTAAGGACCTTGACCCGGATTTGTTGGTTCATGTTCAAAGGGAAACCACACAGTTGAAGCAAATCCGCGAGAAATACGGGGCAACAATAATAGTTGTGAATTTCCTTCGGGGCCCATGCCTTCACCCAACTTCAACAGAACGTTAACCCCTCCGGGCAAGCAAGACGAATAAGCGAGAGAACCTGCCCGTCTTTGTCTTCTACGCGGAAAAACTTACCGGTCGAAGAAACAAGCAAACTCAAACGGCATCTAAGAAGAAACAACCAACCCACCAACCCACCAACCCACCAACCCACCAACCCACCAACCCGCCAACCCACCAACCCACCAACCCACCAACAACCAACCAACCAACCAACCAACCAAGCAAGCAAGCAAGCAAGCAAGCCAGCAAGCCAGCAAGCCAGCAAGCCAGCAAGCAAGCCAGCAAGCCAGCAAGCCAGCAAGCCAGCAACACAGCACGAACTAAAACAAACAACCACGCAATCAAACACAAGGCCACGCACAGCAAACACGCAACACACAACACACAATAAACAACAACTACACAGCACAAGCAAACAGCACCATATAACGAACAACACACACAACAATGAAACACGCAACCAAGAAAAGTCTTCCGAACATGAAGGACTCTGGGCTGAAATCCGTGCCAGGGGGCTGTTTGGCCGCCTCCTGGCCCGTACGCTTTAGGCTCTGCATCTTCTGCACCGAGTCTCCATCCTCCAACTCTACCGAGGCTTCGCAAAACTTGGAAGCACAAGCCTTGCCACTTGAAAGGGAGTTCCCTTGACTAGTTCCCATCCAAAAAACAAACACCCCCAAAAGGAAACTCACTTTGACTATTTGGCCTTCAGCTTTCCAAGCAGAAATGCGGGTGCTTCTTCTGAGGCAAACCCTTTTGGAGTTGTTTGAAAGGCAACTGCAACGTTGGAATCTGTATCCCATTTGGAGACAAGCTCAGTATGAATCCTTTTCGAAAACCTCTTTGAGGTGAAGATTTATGCAATCAACCATTTTGAGTGTATGCATTCAAAACCACATCATAGCCAACTAACACACCTCCATACCCCAAACACCTCGACGTGGCAAACGACGTGCTTTCCTGTTTCAACCACTAACAAGTCCAGAAAAGACACATCCCCTAGTTGAGCCATTGTCAAAGTCCTTCTATAGGCCATAGTGTGGTGGTCTAAAGTCCCTCCGAAAGGGTTTAGACCGGTTTAGGCCTATCCCTCCCCCCAAGTGAAAGGGTCTTGCGATGGCATATATCGATATATAGGGTGCCGTCAAAGAAGCTCAGCCGTGTGGAGCCACGGAAGCCCAGCTTGCCGCTGTCCTTCTTCTGCAGCGCATCCAACAGGCCCTGGGCATCTGCCAGCACATCCCAGGTCTGCACCTGCGCTGTGACCTGCCGAGTCGACTTTGAGCCGCTTTCTTAGGGCTCGACCCCCTTTCGGAATTTCGGGCAGCCTGCAGGGATCCGCCCGGTTGAGTCGATCCTCTGTTTTGGGCCGACCTTTCCAGGAGCACGAGCTCGAAAACAGCACATTTCGGCCTCCGCGCCCTTGATCTTCCCGCTGTGGCGCGCGGAGCGGGGGTTCTGCTGGGCCTCTAGCAGCTCCTGTAGAGGGCCCTGGTCCGCGTTCAGCGCCTTCCGAGCGGAACTGCGCCGTTGGACCGTTGCAACCCTGGCTTCGCCAGGACTGTTCTTTGCAAAGTATGCGGGATGTAGGGGTATTCTCTCTACCTGGGTTGCTCCAAGGACTGGATCGTCAGCGAAATTCCTGAGAACAGGAAAAGAAGGACCTACCAATGTTTCAGCCTTCTGGTTGGTCATCTTTGAGAGGCTCGGAGCAATTCTATGATAGGCCGCAAGCGGGTCAAGGTCAACACCAAATCACATGGTCTTCCCAACAGAGGGTTTTGGGGAAAATCAGGAACCTACAGAAACTCCACAGCTAAGAATCACAAGGGCGGTTTTGACCCACCCGGCCATATCTCTCGAACCTTTTGGAGGTAGCCATGGTAGCCTTGTTTCTGGATTTTTCATCGGGACGCCACAAGGGAGAGGGCAAGCCAAAGATCAAGCCAAATGGTAAGCTATCCATTCTTAGAGCTCCAGTACTAGGAGACGTGGGGACCCGTCTCGACTTGCCTCCTCCACTGCCTTGAGACACTCCTGCGCACTCGCCTTTTGGTCCTGAGCCACCTGCAAACGATCGAAAGGGCAGTTTCTGGCACCACAGTGACACCCAACATAGACACCCACATGTTTGACAACCAGCACCGCAGAGCTTTTCAGTGTGCAGTGCTTCCCAGGACTGTTTCCTATGGCTTAAGGAACAAAACCCCCTCAAGGGGCCAAAAAAAAAGATAGGCCTGGGTTTTGTCGGCTAGGCTCATCACTGGGTCCATGGAAGTGTCATCCTCAGAATAACCTTCTAAATGATCCTTTAAAGAAAAGCAACCCCCCAATGCAATTTTGAGAACCCAACATCATGACTTATAGAATTGTATATACATATGTTCCATATAATTCTACATAACGTAGCAGCCAGAGTCAGCCCCCGCCTGCTTCACCAGGCGCCTTCCATCCGCATCCTCGCTGGTTCCGGCGAAGCCGCCTTTGGACTCCACGGCCTTCTTGGTGTCCTGCAGCTCCGTGGACAGCGAGTCGTAGGTCTCCAAGATCCTTGGGCTCCGGCGGTGCCATGGAGTACACCGGTTGGGGAAAATGTCGACTGCCCAAATGAACGCAAGTGAACCCAGAAAGTGGGGAGGGGGGGGAGGAACCGCCCCTCCGCAAGGAGCAACCCAACTCCGGCAGTTTGGGTTAGGGGTCAAAGTTCCCCGGGCTCGGGCTTTTACCTTGCCAGCGATTGCACCTGGGCAATGACTCAAAACTGCCCAAATGACAAGGTTTTACCGGATGGGAACGACAAGCCAAATGGATTCAACTTGATTCAACCGTTCCCTTGGCCCAATCCTCTGGAAAACAGTTGGAAAATGGCTGAAACTGCAAAAGAACCCATAATTTGGATGGGGGAGTATCCCCAAACGAAACGCGGCAAATAGGAAAGCATGCCAGGGCACTGCTTCCAGCCCTGGGCCTCCTCCCACTTCTTCTCTGCCTGTGCCTTGCTGAGTGCCTCCTGGCATGCCGATTTGGCGGCCTCCTGGTCTGCAGCCAGCACCTCAGCGGAAATGCTTGAGGTGGTTATCTTCTTCTTTTCAACGGCGTCTTGTTGAGACGCGACTGCTTCAAGCCATGTACTATCCTCTATCCCCCCGCCTGCAGCTCCACGGCATCCCCCAGCGCCAGCAGCCGCTCCGTCAGCGGCTCCGGCGACTCGGCGCCGTCGCTGGGCTTCTTCTTGGTGCGGCGGCAGAGTCGCTGGCGCTGGCGCTGCAGCTCCTGGAACTGAAGGCTGAAAAGTTCCAAACGGTCCCAGGAAAAGGTGAAACGGTAAAACATTCTTCGGTTGGCCCCCCCTTAAAAATACAAATGCTAGACCGACCAATGAACAAAGGCGTGTGTCGAATATGCTAAAAGTGCGAGATTGCTCACACGATTGGCGTAGGAAAGTCGTCATATTGCTTCCGATTTCAGCAAGCCAGATGCCAGTCTCGTAGCTCGTGAATCTCGAGGTATGGTTCAAGGGATGCCCAGGGCATTCGGCCAGAAGGTAACCCCTGCGTCACCCTAACCAACGAACCAACTCGGTTTTTGCGGCTCCTCGTCAAACTGGGCGGCTCGCCGGGCTGCCTCCGCCAGCTGCGTCTGGCGATCGTCTTGGGAGACCTGGCGATGTTTCTCGCCAAATCGGGGGGGGGGGGCGTCGAACCACACGAGCCGTAGTTGCGCGTCCTTCGAAGGGGGGGCCCAGTTCCATATTCAAGGGAAACCAATAATTTTGGGGCCGGCGAGTTCCTTGATAGGATTTCTTAGGATGATTGGAAACTCCATCTCCACGGTGGACCATCCCTGCCAAGCCCAGGGGGCTGTGGAGCAGTGAGCAAATTCAGCCTGTTTGCTTTTGCCACTCGACAAAGCGGATCCTGGTTCCTTCATTCGCCACACACCTTGGCAAATCCAAAAAATGGCGTGACCCCCTCAAAATGGCTGGGCTGCAAACATGATCTATGCTCCTAATTTCGCTACATATGCGGTATGCAAAACTTATTGATTCTTCCTGGGGCTGCGAGTCCCCATTCTTGCAACAAAAACTGGATAGACCGTTTGTCTTACAAAAGGACCCGCAAATCCCCGGATTCGCACCATAAGCGCAAAGGCCCGCCCATGGCTCGCCCATGGCCCGCCCGTCGCGCCGCGCACCTTGGAGGCCGCCGCCACGGCATCCACCAAGGACTTGCGCAGCACCGAGGGCTCGCTGGGCGCCAGCGAACTCGCGAAGGCCTCCAAGTCTTTGGACAGGTCCTGCCACAAAGTGACCAGCTCCTGGAAGCATTGCGAGGCGGGCGCGGTTTGGGGAAAAAGGGCAGCAACATCCTGGCACAAGGCGCTGGTTGTTTAAGAACAAAAAGAAACAAACAAAAAAAGACACATAAAGTAGGCATGTGTGTGTGTGTGCAATCATTTTCTTGAAACATCGCAGAACCCAGCTGTCCAAACCATGCCCTGAGTATCACCCTATGCTCTTGCGGGGGAGGGGGGGTCCAAGCCTTGTTTAGACGGTTTCTGCCGTTCACAAAGACATGGTCCCAATTTTGGACCGTTAAACATGGTCACCGCAATTTGGGTTGGGTCGGGTATAGCTGGAAAAACGACCGATGACAAGGGGATGACCTTTCAACTTTTGCTTGGCAACACAAGCAAAAAGCCATAGCAGCCTGGTGACAATTGTTGTTGCGGGGCACAAAGACCAAAAATGCAATTTCCACGGCTCCCCAAGCGGAGAGTGCCGCCGACCTGTTTTTTTCTCCCTTCTTTGGGGGCGGAGGTCCCTTGGAATCGGTGCATCCTGTTTGCCCAGAACCATTTGATTGTCGCCCTTTGATGCAGCCGTTGAAAATACATACCAACCTGTTCTACCCAGAAAAAGGCCAAAAGGTCAAACACGTCAACTTCAATCAGGCTTCAGAAGGCTTTTGCCCAGTCGAGGACTTGCTGGAAAGCAATCGGCCAAAGCCCATCGAACCACACAGGAACCTTCAAACATGTCGCAAACTCTTCAGGCTTAAGCTTCACTGAGCTGAGCCTAGTGGTCGCGAGTCGCCCCATCACTTGGTGAGAAGCGCTGGCTTGACAAAAGCACATTCATGGCATAAAAAACAACGTGCACCGAGAAATTCATACCATCAACGGCATGCCGCTCTTAGCGACACCCATGGCCCAGTGGCAGTTGTGTGCGAGGATGGATTGGCGCTCAACTATGCCGACTCAGGCTCAGGCTGCTGGCTGCCGAGGGAATCCTTCAAGAATGGTCTTGAAGGACTCCCTTGGCAGCTTGAGCTCACTAGCTCTTTGGTTGTTCAGTTCATATGAGCCGGCTCCGTACGTGTCCACCCAGTCTAATTTTCTGCACCGTTTCCAACATCTTCAGAAAACAATGTTGGAAACGGTGCAGAAAATTACAGTGCCTTCTGCGTGGCGCTTCTGCACTTTTCGGATCCAGTGCCAGCACCAGCAGGGGTGCTCGGATCCCACTGGCGGCGCGCTGGAGTACGCCTCGCAGTGGGAGGCGAACTCCAGCGCCACGTCAGCACCGAGGTCGGCGAGCAGCTCCTCCAGCGCGTCACACAGCTCTGGCAGCCCATGCGTTCGCGGTTTCGAGAAAAAGGGCAGGAACATCCTGACACAAGGCGCTGGTTGTTTGAGAACAAAAAGAAACAACTAAAACGAGAAATGTTGCGTAAAGTATATGTGTAACTTTATTTGTGTGATTCCCTTGAGCCGCTTGCAGAAAATTACAACCCAACACACACTGGACTGGTCCATGACCATGCCACAATCTTGAAACATCGCCATAATCTTGAAACATCGCAGAACCCAGCTGTCCAAACCATGCCCTGACTATCACCCTATTCTCTTGAGGGGGGGGGGTCAAGCCTTGTTTGGATGGTTTCCCAACAAAATGGCACCCCTGTCGTTCACAAAGACACGGTCCCAATTTTGGACTGTTAAACAGTGTCATCGGATCTTGGGTTGGGTCTTGTTGGAAAAAGGACTGACAAGGGGATGTCCTTTTGCACGGGCAAAAGCCATAGCAGCCTGGTGACAATAGCTGTTGCGGGCAGAAAAGGACAAAGCTGAAACGGCGCATCCTGGTTGCCCCTGTCGAAATTGCATCCCAACCTTTTCTACGTCAGCTTTTGTCCTTATTATTTGCTGCTTGATCCTGGTCCATATTTACGAACCGCGAAATGTCAAATGCTCGAAAAAGGCCAAATGGTCAAACACGTCAACTTCAATCAGGCTTCAGAACGCTTTTGCCCAGTCGAGGACTTGCTGGAAAGCAATCGGCCAAAGCCCATCGAACCACACAGGAACCTTCAAAAATGTCGCAAACTCTTCAGGCTTAAGCTTCACTGAGCTGAGCCTAGTGGTCGCGAGTCGCCCCATCACTTGGTGAGAAGCGCTGGCTTGACAAAAGCACATTCATGGCATAAAAAAAACAACGTACACCGGGAAATTCATACCAACAAGGGCATGCGCTCCCAGCGACACCCATGGCCCAGTGGCAGTTGTGTGCGAGGTGCTTTGAAACGTTGCATCCTGTTTGCCCAGAACCATTTGATTATCGCCCCTTGATGCAGCTATCGAAACTACATACTAATATTTTCTACGTCAGCTTTTGTTCCCCAATTATTTGCTGCGTGATCCTGGTCCATATTTACGAATCTCGAAACATAAAATGCTGTCAGAAGCGATGCCAGAAAAGGCCAAAAGGTCAAGCAAGTCAACTTCAATCAAACTTCAGCCCGATTTTCTCCGTCGAGGACTTGCTAGAAAGCAATCGGCCACAGCCTGCCAAACCACACAGGAACCTTCAAAGATGTCGCAAACTCTTCAGGCTTAAGCCACATTGAGCTGAAGCCTAGTGGCTGCGCCCCATCACTTAGTGAGAAGCGCTGGATTGACAACAGCACATGCCTTCATGGCATATATACAACGTGCACCGAGAAATTCATACCAACAAGGGCATGCCGCTCCCAGCGACACCCGTGGCCCAGTGGCAGTTGTGTGCGAGGATGGATTGGCGCTTGACGCTCAACTATGCCGGCTCAGGCTCAGGCTGCTGGCTGCCGAGGGAATCCTTCAAGAATGGTCTTGAAGGACTCCCTTGGCAGCTTGAGCTCACTAGCTCTTTGGTTGTTCAGTTCATATGAGCCGGCTCCGTACGTGTCCACCCAGTCTAATTTTCTGCACCGTTTCCAACATCTTCAGAAAACAATGTTGGAAACGGTGCAGAAAATTACAGTGCCTTCTGCGTGGCGCTTCTGCACTTTTCGGATCCAGTGCTAGCACCAGCTGGGGTGCTCGGATCCCACTGGCGGCGCGCTGGAGTACGCCTCGCAGTGGGAGGCGAACTCCAGTGCCACGTCAGCACTGAGGTCGGCGAGCAGTTCCTCCGGCGCGCCACACAGCTCTGGCAGCCCATGCGTTCGCGGTTTCGAGAAAAAGGGCAGGAACATCCTGACACAAGGCGCTGGTTGTTTGAGAACAAAAAGAAACAACTAAAACGAGAAATGTTGCGTAAAGTATATGTGTAACTTTATTTGTGTGATTCCCTTGAGCCGCTTGCAGAAAATTACAACCCAACACACACTGGACTGGTCCATGACCATGCCACAATCTTGAAACATCGCCATAATTTTGAAACATCGCAGAACGCAGCTGTCCAAACCATGCCCTGACTATCACCCTATTCTCTTGAGGGGGGGGGTCAAGCCTTGTTTGGATGGTTTCCCAACAAAATGGCACCCCTGTCGTTCACAAAGACATGGTCCCAATTTTGGACTGTTAAACAGTGTCATCGGATCTTGGGTTGGGTCTTGTTGGAAAAAGGACTGACAGGATGTCCTTTTGCACGGGCAAAAGCCATAGCAGCCTGGTGACAATAGCTGTTGCGGGCAGAAAAGGACAAAGCTGAAACGGCGCATCCTGGTTGCCCCTGTCGAAATTGCATCCCAACCTTTTCTACGTCAGCTTTTGTCCTTATTATTGGCTGCTTGATCCTGGTCCATATTTACGAACCGCGAAATGTCAAATGCCCGAAAAAGGCCAAAAGGTCAAACACGTCAACTTCAATCAGGCTTCAGAACGCTTTTGCCCAGTCGAGGACTTGCTGGAAAGCAATCGGCCAAAGCCCATCGAACCACACAGGAACCTTCAAAAATGTTGCAAACTCTTCAGGCTTAAGCTTCACTAAGCTGAGCCTAGTGGTCGCGAGTCGCCCCATCACTTGGTGAGAAGCGCTGGCTTGACAAAAGCACATTCATGGCATAAAAAAACAACGTGCACCGAGAAATTCATACCAACAAGGGCATGCCGCTCCAGCGACACCCGTGGCCCAGTGGCAGTTGTGTGCGAGGATGGATTGGCGCTTGACGCTCAACTATGCCGGCTCAGGCTCAGGCTGCTGGCTGCCGAGGGAATCCTTCAAGAATGGTCTTGAAGGACTCCCTTGGCAGCTTGAGCTCACTAGCTCTTTGGTTGTTCAGTTCATATGAGCCGGCTCCGTACGTGTCCACCCAGTCTAATTTTCTGCACCGTTTCCAACATCTTCAGAAAACAATGTTGGAAACGGTGCAGAAAATTACAGTGCCTTTTGCGTGGCGCTTCTGCACTTTTCGGATCCAGTGCTAGCACCAGCAGGGGTGCTCGGATCCCACTGGCGGCGCGCTGGAGTACGCCTCGCAGTGGGAGGCGAACTCCAGTGCCACGTCAGCACCGAGGTCGGCGAGCAGCTCCTCCGGCGCGCCACACAGCTCTGGCAGCAGCCCATGGCGAATTCAATAAAGCACCTTTACGCGAAACAGGACCTACCTGCCGAAACGGCTGATGCACAAGAGAAGCCAGCCTTCAATCGTGTTGGGGAAACCCTGACCAAGCCTTCGTTGTTCCTTTCAATCACAAGGCTCCAAAAGAGAACTCGTTTTGAACCGATCCCTTCAAAACGAACACATTTTTGACCACCCACCGTCCCCGCCTGCCAGGCGTCGCGGCACTCCGCCACGTTCTCTCCGCCGCCCGCGCGGATCTCGGCGACCTTGGCCTGGCATGCCGCCTCGCCCTCTGCGTGCTCCTCGCGAAAGTGTTTCAACCGGACGAACTAACCAGACCCTGCGCCCCAAAAAAACACAGCAAGGAAGTTTTAAATGAAGCTGGTTTGAACACGGTTCAACATGGGGGTCCCATGCCTTGATTCCTACAAAAGGAAACCCAGGGGAAACCGTGCGATCTCTTCTCTTGAGGTTTGGGCCAAAGCAGCAAGTAAAGGAAGGTCAAGAAGGTGCAAGAAGGTGCAACAAGCAGCCAAGTATTGTTTAGAAGCTCAACTGTAAAATGATAAAACGGAGGCTCAAGTCACGGTAGTCGAAAACAAACAATCCCTATGATGATACCAAAATTGCTCATTCCATCAATCACCGGGCTATTTCTTTGTTTCGGGCTTTCCCTTGGCCAAGCAAAGAACCTGTCAACCTTCTCCTCGGTTCCACGAGGCCCTAATTT